AGCATACAAGCTAAATCCCCACGACCCGTCCTGTCTTCTCCCACTGTACCGACTACTCTATCTTTTCTTTCTTTCTTTATTATTTCACTTATCTCAACCTATATTATCTACACTACAACCTATTATTATCATTATCATTATTATTATTATTACTCTACTTTTATGACTATACCAAATGACCAACGGGTGTTAGGTCAAACTCCATTCACGGTAGCAGCTGAGTCCTAACATACTGCACACTACAAACCACAATCTTGACCAATCCTCGCATCACTCCTCCTGGAGTCTACCAGAGCTAAAGCAGTCGAGTGGCGGGATTTACTACGCATAAGTTCACCGAAGATCTGGAACCTCTACCTTACAATCAAGAAGCGAGCTCAAAGAAATCACTGGTTTATACTAGCTCGTAATCAGGATATTGAATATTGGATATTGGAGAGGGCAATTTGTATTTTCAAGGTCGCAGCGCTAGCGTTACTCGTCTTCGTCAATTTAAGGACACTGGACTTAACTAAATGGAACGAATAGTGGCTCTTTCAGATGATGACTTGAGAGCTGAACTGTTGAGCTACGGTTATCATCCACCTCCAATTCAAGGTTCGTTCCTTTATAATCGCTGACTACTCTGAAAAGATGACATTACCAGGAAAATTTTGCGAAAGAAACTTGCACTGTTTATTGATCGTATGTTCTTTTTTCAGTTAATAACATTGCTATTTTACAGCTTCTCTAGTGACCGAGGAACAGTAAGTGTTAACCAAATTAATGAAGATTAACATTAGGAATCAAAATTCAAATTCGTCAGATGACAGTGAAGAGTGTAACTTATACGGTGACACAAGCGTCCGTTCTAGAAACCGGGTCCGATTTTCTGAAGCTCAAGAGAATGTATATGAAGTGACAAATTCTCCTACCTACAGAGTTCGCCTATATTTACTCCTAGTGTTTGTCCTGTCGCTATCCTTATATCTCTTACTAAAAGCCATCGATATAATCTAAAGAATTTCCGATCAATTTTTACGATTGTTTTTCAGTTGATTGTTATTCCACTACATTACCACTGTTCACATACATCATTGGTTTTTGCTATTAAAAAAGTTTTGTATTCAAATGCTGTTTTAAAATGTTAAAATTGGCGAAGTTAAAGTATCATAACCAAAGTCAAGCAAGATCTTTCGAAAACTGACCTTCAAGAACCGATTAAATACAGGGAATCCTATGAAATGTTATTCCAAATGTGATCCTATCTGCCCTTTTTGAACTTGGAGAGGGTAGATGCACCATTCCACTTATTTACATGGTACTTTTTCTGAAGATCTATACTGCTAGGTAGGGTTATGGCTTTTAAGATTAAGGCTTAGAGTTTAACTTAAGATTAGGAGTTAGGGTTATTTTTAGAGTTAGAAGTAGGTTAAAGAACAGTGTCAGAAATATCAATAGGTCTCAAATTACCATGATCTACAGTCACCTGGATGAATGCGCATGGTATGATTTCTTTATAGACCATCTGTGTAGTCACTCGAAGACTTTCTTACAACACATAATCGACAGTTATACAGTGTAGTATCATGTTTGCATAATTTTTTAAATGTATTATGCAAATTTTCCACCTCTAAATTCCGATTAATTGTTTAAGGTCACTTATTTTGGCTTTGATAGTCTGACTTTGTCTTCAAGTTGATTAGTATGTTACGGTACAAACAGTTGCTTGTTGATGCTGAATTCATGATTTTCGCTTAAACTAATATAACACATGAACAGCACACTGTGTATACTAGAAGGAATTTTAAAGTTGCCGTGTTTATGACAATGACACCATTAGCACACTGAGTTCTCACCTGTTCAACGCTGATAATTCTTGCTGTAAATAAGCTTTCTTTAGTGTTTAATAGGGAATAATTACTCATTCTTTCTTAACCTCTGCTGTATTTTACGAATATTTGAATTGTTGACTGAAATCAAGAGCTTCTTAGGTCATGTACAAAACCAGTTGTTTACCAGCTTCAGTGTGTATGAATTCCACGGTAATATATAGTTAACGAACTATTTGAAACTGTTAGACCGAAGTACTGATGAATATGAGATGGAATGTTACTGAACAGTAGCTTTCAGTTTTATGCAGTGAGTCACACCTATCATGTGAAGGGCAGTTATACTACCTGGCTGCTGATACCTATGTAGGCGGACCATGTTTTGAGCCTGTGACTCACTGTCTGAAAGTTGAGTTCCCGCACTAACGAATTACAGCTCCATTAAGACAGATGGAGGCAAATGGTAGAAAACAGTGAACTTAGGTATTGTGCTTACTGGAGTTTGTTATTAAGTCGTATCGACAACGCTGAAGGTACTGATTTCTCGGAGTTTTGGACCTGCGTCACCTAGTGCTGCAGTGAGATGTCCCCACTGAGCCGTCCGACAAACTGATGAAGAATATTTATGTTGCTCTTGGTTTGTGTTCCAGAAAAGAGAGTGGGGTAATTAAAATAACCGGTTTCGCCAAATGACAAGCTTAGGTGTTACTACCTTATTGTAAATCCAGAACTGTGACTTTATTTGCAAGTTGATGGTATTAGATGATAAGATGTAACTTATTAGAGACGTGGTCTTCACAGTGATATCTGGTAAGGAATAAGTTAGTTTTCTACTACCTGTCTATCAGTGGAAACGATATTTAGGTGACGAACTTCAGTCCTACTAGAAACCGGATTGATATCTAGCTGATTAAATCGGTTAGGAGCAATCAGTTAACTGAACTAGCTTACTTTTACAACTCCTTTATAGTCTTAAAAAATTCTGCTAACATTCATCACTGCATCCATGTATCGTAAGTGACAAACACTGACGGTTAAATTTAAAGCTGTCAATTTCAAATCTGATTTTCTGTTTAAATGACGAGAATTTAAGGCAGAATGATTGCATACAATCAGGTTGAGGTATCGCAAACTTCTGCTTACAAACGTGATTTTAACAAATACAGGAATGATGTGAATACGAGTTTCGCACTGCCTAGTGCTGCTTGCCGGGCACTTCCTCTGAAATGAAACAAATCCACACTTCCTTTTGTGGAGTCATAAATTATCCTCCAAGAAATAAACTGTGGGAGACAGTTAACTATGTTTGTTCTGCATAAGTTGTCCATTCACAGGCTTATCGATCTTGGACGTATGTTAATCTTCGGACATATAAACCATAATAAAAGTCACATTGACTACTATTCGATTGTCACCTCTGGGTTCCCATTTGACCTTTTGGTAGGTATGGATAGCCGTAAGGATACATTGGTTGTTTGGTTGGGTATTATAGACACTGGTCCCCAACTCTCACCCCTAGAGATACTTGAGGGTAGTATCGAGCTCTTCTAAGTTTTGTTTCTTGCCTGAGAAGCAGCAACTAGGGAGAAACAGGAAGACCCATTCCGAAATTCTGATTCATACTCAGGTTGAATTTGTGGCAGCTGAAGCATAATTACAGTCTATCACCCCATTTCTTTAAGGGGTATCCACCCTCCTCAAAGGCAACCTCCTCGCATATTCTGAAAAGAGTAGCCAGGTGAGACTCTGAAGTTTAGACAGGAAATAAGTTCTTCCAATAGCGATCTGAAGTACCTTAGAGGCGGGCTTGGCATAAAGCCAACTGACGAGATTCTGAATTAAGTGCTCTAGAATAATTCGGAATGATATTATATTTATGGCATGTAACTCTCAATAGCATTTTACTTAACAAACCAAACTTCTTAAGTTTTCTAAAATTCCTTTACTCTTCATTCTAACACCCAGCATAGTGGGCCTATCCAACTTAGTAGATTTTCAGTAAGTTACTCGTTAAACTCTACGGAATACGGTTGACTTTGCTTGGGGTGGAAGGAAGCTAGTTGAAGTTGATACCAGTTAATACCTTCTTACACTGGTCATTTTCTTGGTAAATAAAGCCTCCAATATACATATATCCTAAGCAGAAGACACTAGAGATGGGAATCTTCCCCGGTCGGTCGTGTGCTTTTGGAAGTGTGTGGGCGGTTGTTACTTCCCGGCTGCCCACACCGTGGAAGTTGGTTGGGTCTTCGGGTACCTGAAATAGAGAAGAGGTTAATGTTGCGTGACCGCAGAGCCCAGGGGACAACTGCTTGAGGCCGGTCACACGCGGCCTGTTTTTGTTTGTTTTTTCTTGTTTGGTGTGTCTCAGTAGCGTATTTATCACTTCTGCCCTGTGACACGGCAGCAGAAAGCGCGGTCGTTGTTAATCCGGGCCCCGACCGATCCGGCATGATATTTTGTGGATTTATTTGAATCATGGTGTAGGATTGGGTAGCTGCTTTTTGTCTAACCGCTATCCAGACAACCTTTCTGGCATGGTAGGACCTACAGGAACATACGTTCCAGCCAGTATAGCTCGTTGGGTCATTGCGATATGCAGGCCCGACCACCACATCAAGGTAGCAGCTATCGGCCGGGGGGAATCTTCCCCAACAACATTGTACACGCAAGGAAGGATGTAATTGGCAGTTGTTTTTATATTTCACATGCATTATGAACCAAAGAGACATTTTTAAAAAATGAGCATAGAATACGTTTGAATTATTTTTTTTTAATCAGAAATACCAATTAGTTGAAATTCACAAGAGAGTCAAGCATACACAAAAATATCTACAATCCAAAGGAAGGAATTTATTGACCGATTGTGATTGTGAGAGTGATGCGATTTGAATTTAAGATAACAGACAATCAGAAAGAGAGAGAGAGATTGTTATAATTATAGTACTATTTCAATCTGAATGTACGCGCCTCAAGTTGTATGTGCTTCACCAAATCCTACAGAAAAAAACAACAGCACATTGTTGTACAACAGTGTAATCGTATTTATAAGACACAGGAATACACTGGAAGCCGTTGTCAAGACAAAGGAAAAGTATAGCAAGGTATGGTGTAAGTAATCAATATTATTTGTAAGATTAAAAATATGAACTCACAATAAGCATATCACAGACAGATTAGTTAATTTATTGTACAATTATGCTGGATACAAGAACAGACAAATGAAGAATTATTTAAAAAAAAATTAGACTGAGAGTTCAACATAATAAAAAAAAACTTAGCCTGTGGTGGCGTAGACGACAGGAAAAGAAGAACATTTACAAAATGAATGTTGGCAGGCATACATACTACTGCTGTGTGGAAGATTGAATCAGTGATAATAGATAGCTTGAGAAAGCGCAGCTGGTTTTGCGGTGATAATAAATGAATATCTTTGGTGGGGAATATTACTTTTGTCCACATAAAGTATTCGACAGCCTAGATATATATATAATATACAGACAAAGAAAATAATACAATCATATTAAATGGAGCAATATTCTATTATAATTAAAGCGAGTGATCATTATGTATAGAGGGGATTAACATGACTTTGACTAAAACTCACTGATGAAATAACTAGTTTTTTTTCTATTGGTTACTACAATAATTAATGGACATGGTGTGTGGGTTGACTAGTCATGTTGTGTAATATCTCCCGAAAATCTTTGTTAGGCAGTGTATTACTCTAACTATGAACGGTGATATACTCTAGCAGTGTCCCACAGTTGGTATTCTCGTGCCAGGAAATATAAAACATCCACTCAAGCCTCAGGATGGTCGGGGGTGGGTGCATTGCGCTGCGGGTTGGCCACCCCTCCGAACACCTCTTGAAATGCTCCCATATGACCGGGCGTCTTACATAGCCTCTCCTGAGGAAGTCCTACTCACTGCCTTCACGTGGCGGAGGTGTTTTTCACCAAAGTGAGAGGGCGAAAGCGGATGCCCGGCGCTCTTCACCGGGTTGACTGTCCATTGGATGACAGTCTAGTGGAGATGGCTAAACCCTGATTCCAAACCTCCAACGACTGGCGTGTGAAGCTCACCGGCAGACGTATGGACAAAGGGCTTGTTGGATATCCTGGATGTCTGGCCCCATTCAAAAAGGCGTATGAACCGAACTCCGGTCACCGGCTGCCAATGGATAGTGGACTCCCTACTCCACTCCTACTGCCTTGTAGGTCACACTTGGTTGTGTAAACGCTAGGGCTGCACTCTCAAACAAAAGGCCGAGCGATTCTGGGGACATCACTCGTACCGAATTCCCATGAAACTTCATGAACTCTCTTACCTTGTCGCAAAACCTTGCAACAGATCGCCGCGCCTGGGCAGCGATGATTCGAGATGTTCATGAAGCCGGCTCATCCTTCCGTAGAAGATAGCCGAAGTAAAGTAAGTACTCAACGATAGACGAACTATAGGAAGTTCGACCTGTTCTTTTCTACTAGCGACTGGCCCTATATTCAAGCAGTTACCTGTGGTTCTAGTGGGAAGCCATGACCAGCAGGGTACTACTACTAATCGACTGATATAAGTAGTTGCATACCACTCAACCAGTAGTGTGCTTGCTAGCCAGCCTGATCGAGGGGTGTTATAAACACCGGACGATCGTTTCGCTCGTTTATTCCCGCCATCGCCAAGGTTATTTACTACAATAGTTGCGGAATAAGGTGATTTCAATCTCCATGGGTGGGTCAACACACACTCCTAGCATCTATGACTCATACTGTTTAAACATTAGAATGTATACCGCGTTATCTTGACTCTTGTAAAAAACATATGGTCATGTGAATGCAAAATCGCTTCTAATCTCTTCCATCATCTGTTAATCCGACATATTGTATTAACAGAGTTGCGACTGCTCAAATTATCAAAGATACCGTTAAATCCTGAGTATATCACCAATCAATAATAATAGCATAACAACATAAATTAATAGACAGAAGACAAGTAGTTCAGCGAAGAGTCTCTTTTCAGCGAATTCATTTTCATAGCTGTACAATCGCAAATATATATGGTTGTTTTGTATGTGTGTGTACATTAAATTTGTCAAACGAAAATACAATTAGTAAGTTCAGATGAATTGAGTGTTGATATAAGAGGGTAGTAACAAAAGTGATGAGTTGTCACAAACGATTGTTAAAGAAGAGTTACGTAATAACATGAATAGTTTAATGAAAGAGTTGTACTCAGGGTGTACATGGAAACAAAATATACGGAATTACACAAGGGTTTTAAGTAGTTAGAAAAATAAGCATACAAACAAAAGTTAAGTCAAATCAACACAGTTGTTACCATGGGAGTAGAAGTGGTTGAATAATTTTCTTTTGTATGCACAGTTCTGGTTCCTCTAGCTTAATGGCTAGGGCTTCTGCAATGCAAAGAAGACGGAATCGTACTGTCTTTGGAAGGTTGTTCTTCACTTTGTAAATTACTTTGAAGGAGGCGTTTGTTGAGATGGAATGACCAGTGTTGACGAGGTGTTCGATTATTGCACTCCTTATGCAGCCATTACTTCCTTTCTGCAGCCACGCTGGATAGTGTTCTTTGACTCTTTTTGACAGGATGCGCGTTGAACGACCGATGTACCTGGCTCCACAGCAACAGATGAACTGATATATACACATAGAAGTCAGGTGCGGGATCTTGTCTTTTGGGCTTCTGCAGATCCGAGGGTGACTAGAGAACACTACTCTCAATGTTGCCGCAAAGAAAGTTCTTAAAGAGGTGGAGATTCTCCTTCTAAGGACGTCACTGAGTAGGTCTCCTTTGCAGTTGTAATTTCGTTTTATTACGTAACTTCTGTTTAACAATCATTTGTGACAACTCATCACTTTTGTTACTACCCTCTTATATCAACACTCAATTCATCTGAACTTACTAATTGTATTTTCGTTTGACAAATTTAATGTGCACAGACACATACAAAACAACCATATATATTTGCGATTGTACAGCTATGAAAATGAATTCGCCGAAAAGAGACTCTTCGCTGAACTACTTGTCTTCTGTCTATTAATGTTCGAATGGGAATTTTTCATGAACATAAATTAAGACACAACTGTGAGAACAGTCTTTTTTCACATACTCACAGTTGTAAATCAATCGTGTAGTCAGTCTATGAAGGTTTGCAAGAATATCTGGAGTGCGAGCTGATACATGGAAACCGCTTCTTACTTAGGTAGAAGTCTACTGTTTAAGCCGATGGATAATCATTTAAACTACTGACATAATGTTAATGTACAGACCCATCACTCGTTTAACATAAACTAAACCACTTACCAATCCATTGCTTCCTCTAAACCTTCACCTTTTAGAGCAGATGTTTTAAACAATTGATATCGTCGATTTTTAATAGCAGCTAAACCAAGCGATTGAGCTACTTCACTGATACTCATACATCCTGAGATATCTTGTTTATTAGCCAATATGACAAGTACAGCTCCACGAAGTTCTTCTTCCTGTAATCAATGACAGACAGAGAGAAAAGGAATTAATGATCACATAGCTCTTTCTATCTTTCCATAAATAACTGAACACTTAGTACATTACAAAATATATATATCGTTTACATTATAAAGTAAAAAAGAAATCCAAGGGGCTTACACTATACTTGTAACGACAGAAGACAAGAGCCAGGCAACAGATAGTTTATTAAGAAAATCAACAGATATTTGTAGATTTTTATGTACATTATTATTCGTTATTATTAGCACAGAAACGTGAGTCAGTGGCACAGCAATTAAAACGCTCGCCGACTACGCACATGGTCCGGGGTTCGATGCCCGGTCGACCCACTTCTTAACCTCGCTAAGCCAGAAATAAAGCTATTAAAGAGGGAAAGTTGGGCATGAGGCTAGCAACTCCAATCCCGTAAAAGTAGACACCATTGCTACCGAAACTCCAAGCTTCTAGCTTGACGCCCTATGTTCCACTCAGAACGTGAAAGAATAAATAAAAAAATTAGCAGAGAAACAGCGTCTTCTGATTGGTCGTTTTCTCACTGGAAGTTATTCTGTCATCTCTTTGTGGTCACTTCTTTGAAGGTCAGACCATATATCTGCGAATCGTATCCACCCACGCAAAGCCTACTGTGGTTGGTTGCTGAGCTAGTCTTTGTTCTTGTCCTTTCTCATGACCAGGATTTGGGACGTAAACATTGACGTAAATTGCTGTCTACGAATTTGGCTAGCAGACAGCTCTCACCGCATACTCAATTCATTTTGTTTTCACAGGATTTCACCATGAGCTGACATCGGTTAGAGAACCATTGAAAAACCATCACGGAGTACTGGACAGCTTTCCCGTCCTAGTTCGGGACTCTTCAGCAATACGCACGCACCGCAGGGATTCGAACCCAGGACCTACCTTCCAATTACAAGGTGATCATTCCTTAGACCATTCAGTCACTGGGATCCTATCGAAAGACCAGTCCATGAATTCCAACTTCTGCCAATTCACGACATAGCGCGACTACTACCACTTACTGTTGTCGGTGAGTAATTATCCTCACAACTGACTTGCTGTACCCTTACCACCCCCCCGTCAGGACTTCCCCTTAGTGGTACAGCAAAGCAAACTTCTTGAATTCATTAAGCGAATAAAAACCAGAGACTAAAGAGCTTGCAAGTATAAAAAAGAGTGCGATTGTACACCATTTTGTTGAACACTGGTTATATTGTGGACAATTCCAAAGGTGTTCAAAATAACCAACAGACAAAATTAAATCTAGTCTGCGACGTTTTGCTGAGACAATCGCCATCAAACAGTAAACATCCAATCGATGTAGGCAGAAAGAAACACAGTGGTGAACCTTGCGCTAACACTTGGTGATTAAACTTGCAAAACTAAGTTTACAACACTCTGAATACATCTCATGCCTTTTCCCATATCCACTGTTGAGTTGAGAAAATCTGTTTCTTTCATCTGAAAATCACTCATCTTACTCCTTTCGCTGTTATTGTATAAAAACATATTTCCTGTAGTTATGTAAACCTATCGTATTGATAATGCTCGTTCTAGTTAAACTTTATTTCCACCCCAAAACTTGATTATGCCAGCAATATAATGCAATAACTACCTGTTCCCCCCAGCCCACTGCTCTACTTAAGCCATAAGACACAAGATGGGAAGTACATATACACATGACCAATGGCGTTGCGAAAGTGCAGATAGCCAACAAGGATTAATTTCCTGACCAAGGCCATAGGCGTGAGCAAAATTATCCAGACTACGTTGATCCAATCTTACTATAAACACGTGACATATCTGACTTACATATCAGAGACACACTTATTGTGTGAGGGCAGTTGATACACCACCACCTAGTTGCCCAAGCTGAAAGAGGTGGAGCAAGATTCGAAATTGTGACCCATTGGCTTTTAGTCAAGTGATAAAGTCAGGGAACCACATTCACTGGGATTAGTCAAAGCCAATATTAATAAAATTTGTACGTTGAACGCCTGTGACTTTTCGTGTGTCGATCTTATCTATTTGTGGTGCATCTTCTTGGTGCCATATTGTACCAGGTTTTGTGTTTTAAATAAAATAATAAGCTACACCTATTGCTTGAAGGCTAGTCTCACACCACTTGGGGATGAGGGCCTACTCAAACCCCAGTCTGTCTGTCTGTCTGTTTTCGACATAGAACTTTGCACATATGTGCGTCAGTTCAAGTCGCCACACTCCCTCCTTGTAGCACACAAAGCAAGAGAAGAAAGTAGGAGAAATGCATAGTATAGACAGTAAACAGAGGTGTGAGACAAAGGAATAGTAATAACGAAGAACAAAACAGTTTGATTGGAAATCATAAGTCACAAGGAGTGGATGCATCTGCACCAGCCATTGAGAACGATTTTGAGCCATATCACCAATTGTTTCCAACCATTGGTTTTTACCGTCCCGAGGACCCCAACCAGGAAGTCTACACCTTCCTACGTGGCTTAGACTAACTGTTGTAGATTTCATTGACTGGTGCCATGTTTTCGTTTGACCGCCACTAGCTCTTTTCCAGCCTGACCCTATATCAGCTAACATTGCCCGTCGAGGAAGGCGATGACTAGGCATACGTAACACATGTCCTAACCATCTCAGTCGATGTAATTTCACAGCGTCGTCGATTGATTTTCCCTCCTTACCTAGCACTCGACGCCTAATCTCAGTATTGCTCACCTTATTATACCACTTCACGCGGGAGATAGAACGCAGACACCTATGATCAAAGACAGCTAATCTTTTCATGTCCTCTGCTCTCAATGGCCAGGTCTCACAGCCGGCCATAAAGGAGGACGGAGCGGACTGTTGAGCAGTACACACGCCCTTTGGTCGGTAGTCGGATATCGCGTCTACGCCAGAGACGGCGTAAACTGGCATATGCGAAACTAGCCCTCTGTATTCGTGCTGAGATTTCGTCAGAGATCAACCCGTTGGGGCTGATGGTACTTCCCAAGTAAGTGAAGCGGTCAACGTGCTCTACCACTTCACTTCCTACTTCTAAGCTAGGAGTCAATGTAGTCCAGTCCTGTAGCATCATCTTACATCAAACCCCAGTAGATGTAGAACAGTCACAAAACGATGAATAAAAATTCCATAGACAATAACAATAACAATAGTTATGTAGGCGCATAACAGTATTAAAGAAGTATTAAAGACAACTTACTTCAAGCATTGAGAATAATTCTTGCTTTGAAATACCCACTCTATCACGATCCATACTGTCAACCACATAGATAATAGCATCTGTATTTGAATAATAACATCGCCAATACGGTCGAATACTCGTCTGACCGCCTAAATCCCATACTTGAAATTTCAGATTCTTGTGAACTACAGTTTCCACGTTAAATCCAATGGCTAAGGGTTTTTTTAAAAAAAAGGAGAGAGAAAAGTTTATTTTACAATATACAGAGAAAATTCTAATTCAGCAGACAATTAGAAGATATAGAAGAAAGATAGAACAAAGAATATTCTTCCACATAAATTCCCCTTCCAGCTCTACATTTATTTATATTTATATGCGCAAAATATTCTACAATAGTCGTCATTAACAATATTGATGTTTTTATTTAAGTAATATCAGTTCGTTAAGAACAGTGAAATTACAGTTCAAGACCGATTCAGTAACTCATCGAAGAAGACACTGCGCTATGTCATGAATCGACAGAAGTTAGAATTCATGGGCCATTCGATCGGGTCCCAGTGACTGAATGGTCTACGAGCTCACCTTGTAACCAGAAGGTCCTGGGTTCGAACCCCTATGGTGAGTGCGTACTGCTGAAGAATCCCAAACTAGGACGAAACGGCTAGCTGCCCAGTACTCCCAGGTTTTCCAATGGTTCTCTAACTGATGTCAGCTCATGATGAAATCCTCCAACCAATCAAACAAAATGCCTACAAAACCAATACTTGAAAAATAGGTGCATAAGTATAAAAAATGTATTGCTGGAGAGAACATCAAATAAGATTAAGGATCGCTAAAAACCTTGATGGCTAAGTTAAGGAAAGTGTCTGAACCCACTTCTTTTGGGCACATAAGTTAGGCTGCTTGGTGAAGATTCCAAAAGCTAAGAATTATGCAATAGACGAACTGTTGAAGCAAAATTAAGAGTCGTTGGTATACAGTAGATGACTTTGAAAGCCTTGTTGACATTAATTTTGTGTTCTGTATCGACGAGATGAGACAGTATAGAGCAGAGCTATGAAGAGACTTAGTTTGTCCCTCACTTAATCACGCAGGATGGTGTTCTGAAATCTGACGATAAACACACCTAATTGTACTGCCTATGTAACTGGCTCACTCCACAGGAGCAGTCAAATTGATAGATAAACATAGAAGAGGCGAAATTAGGTAGTTTATCTTCAACTACTCCCGAACGTAAAATATGAGACTGCTTTTGAAGATACAGGATAATTCAGCAGCGCTGAATGCTCTTTTTATCGCATTCCTTAGGCGTTGTGTTATTATTTCACTGGTGTTATCACAGAGTAAATGAAGGTGTAAGAACATGGGGTTTTGGGGAATTGTGGGTACTTTTATTTGCTTTGACTTTAGATTCATATTTTCTTGACAATGAATTTCTCTGGGTAGGCGTTTTCACTCAGTAATTGTTTGCTGATATATTGAGCTCATCACTAAAACCATTCAATATGATCAGACAGTTACTGAGTGAAAACGCTTACCCAGAGAAAATCATCGACGAGAATATATGAATCCAAAGATAAGGCAAGCCGAAGAAGTACCAGTGTGGTGAGAGCTGGCTGTGAACAAGCCAAAATTGTAAACAACAATTTACGTCAGTGTTACGTCCGGAATCAGGGTCATGAGAAAAACGATAACAAAGCTTAACCTTGAGGAACTAACCAACCAATCACAGCGGAGTTACCGTGCGCAAATATGATTCGCAGGTATGTGGCTTAACTTTCTAAGAAACGGTCACAAGCAGTACAGAATAACCTTCGGCAAGAAAACAACCAATCAGAAGACGTTGCTTCTCTGCTAATAATAATGTACATAAAAATCTATAAATATCTCTTGATTTTCTCAATAAACAATCTATTGCCTGGCTCTTGTCTTCTGTCGTTACACCAGTAGTTCCGAAAAAGATCTTGATGTGAACAAGACTTTCACAGGCGCCTACCGTATACTGACTAATTTCAATTTTACCTCAAGAGTTCGCCTGCTACATATTATTGAGGTTGTCGGAATTAAAATTAAGAAGCCTAACTTATGTATCCAAAAAAATTGGTTCAGACGCTTTCCTTAACTTGGTCATCAAGGTTTTTAACTATCCTGAATTTTTTTTTCCTTCACGTCCCCCACTGGAACATAGGGCTTCAAGCTAGTGGCTTGAAATTTCTGCAGCAGTATTTATTTTTGCAGGATGAGGTTGCTAGCCTCATGCCCAACCTTTCCTCTTCACCAGCATTATTTCTGGCTCAGCGAGGTAAAGGAATGCGTCGGCCGGGGATCGAACCCCGGACCATGTGCATGGTCGGCGAGCGTCCTAACCGCTATGCCACCAACGCAATATTATCCTTAATTTACTGTATAAATTTTCTTCATTTTATCTCACTTTCTATCCAGTATTACATTTTTTTATGCTTATTATAACTTAGGCATCTTTATGAACTGTAATTCCATGAATCTTAACAAATCGATCCCAATCAATGAAAATATCGAGATCATTTGTCAGCATTCTGATCTTCTCCCACACACACTTCCATTGCCAGAATTCAAACGCCTACTGCTAATGCGTACCATGGATGTACAATTCCAGTCTTCTGACAGTACTATTTACTGTTAAATAGATGGTGTAGCTATTTATGGGCAGTCCAGTTAGCCCTGTTTCAGCAGATATCTCTGCATCCAACTTTGGTAGATTAAAATTGACGACTGCAACTGACGAAATAACTTCTTATTGTCGATATGTAGGTGACGCATTTGCAGTGTGCAACAATGAAAGTCATGCTTCCCAATTACTAGAATTATTCAACGACACACATACAAATATTGAATTTACTATGGAACGTGAAAATGATGGAAAGTTCCACTTGCTTGACATTGTCATGCAACGTCTGGAAGATGGTGGTCTCCAGAGGTTAACTTACTGAAAGCCGACATGGAATGTGGGATAGTTACATTTTTATTATTTTTTGTCCAAGTAGCTATAAACGAGCACTAGTAAAAACTCTGTTCTACAGAGTCAGGAGAATATGCTCTACAGTCAAATTAGAGGAAAAATTTATGATTCTCAAAAAGATGTTGAAAGGCAACAACAGTTATGCCCAGAAATTCAGTAACAGGTATGTAAGATGTGAAGGCTCAAATGCCAAACAAATCACAGTGGGAGAAAAGCCTATCTTCATTCAACTAGATTCTTAAAGTGACGGTGGCACAGCGATTAGGACTTTCGCCGACCATGCACATGGTCCGGGGTTCGATCCCCTGCCGACGCACACCTGATATCAATTGGCTGGCCTGCAAAATTTGGGCTGCCGATATCACATGCTGAAAATTCCATACTTGTACCAAAAGTAATGTGCAGTTTCAAGTTATAATAAAAAAATAATGCGAGAATAGTCAACAGAAGACTGAATACCTCGCTTTTATTTTATTTATTTATTTAAACGCAGAAAAACTTGGTACAATATGGCACCAAGAAAGATGCGCCACACAATAATAATAAAACAACATAGATTAAAAGTAAAAATATAGGTAGATAACGGATAAAGAACTTCATCAAGAAAGAAAACAGTCATGTTTAACAAGTTCAAACAGTATTCGTTAACTATCATCAGGAAGGGAAGAAAGAAGGAAATTGCAGCACGTTCGCCATTGATTACGATTCTTGGCCATATCCGATAACGTTTCGAGCCATCGATTCGAGCTATCTCGCGGACCCCAACCAGGGAGTCGTGACACACCAACCGATGAATACCTCGCTAGCCAGAATCAATCCTTAAGATAAGTTGGTTCCCGTTTACTAGAAAATATGCTCTTCATTGGTGCAATCAAAAGTCAGCAGATAACATTCTCATGTTAACTCTATGTATACAAATTTACATGTATCTGCGATAGCAGTTACACTGGGATAACAGAAAGAAGGGCACGCCCCTGATTTTCTGAACATGCACCAAAAAGCCAACGTCTTTCAACAGTGCCATTGCCAGGCATCTCCTTGATACGGGTCATGAGGTGGAAATCACAAAATCCTTTAAAATTATCAACAGGCAAAATAAAGCTCAATTCTCCTCAAGTTTGCCTGAGCAATCTCCATCAAACTCCTGAAACTGGATTTATATGTTCAGAAAGAAGCAGTTATCAGTCTTCGTTGCCGTGGTAACTGGATTCCTTCATCTTCTCTCTTTCATTTGATTACATAACGTTGAAAATTCCATTCTGTATGATTGTTATTGTATGGAATAAAGTGGTCATTATTATTATTACTATTATTACTATTCTATGCATACATTGATTTGTTTTGTTTAAACTTCAACTCTCTGGATATGTTAAATTTATTATATTGGCCGTTGCTCTAGGGACTTGATTTTTCGTGCTCGAGAACATATCCCACTATGGCTGAGTAAAGGTTAGTTAAAACCATTAACAGCTCAATATTGGACCATCTGGTGCAAACCGGTCACAAAGCCAACCAGCGTAGAAGAATCCTTCTCTATAATATACCGGGTGCCTAACAAATTACCAAAATCGTCGAAGCACCGCATGCTCCAAACAGCAGAGGCTATTGCTATTCGCCTCAAACAACGAGTGCTCTGTGTTCAAAAGAAGCGAGACTAGCTAGCGACTAATACTGCCCTGGCTGGTCTTCAGGAGAGATTATAAATTCATGAATTTGTAATATTATCTTTCCTAATTTTTCTGACATTCAGCTGTAATCTATCAATATTATTGATTCGATGTTATTTAAACAACATTAATGTTGTTCATAACACTAATTCATTCATTCACTATAATGTATATATATAATTGTAGAGCCTGATAATAAATTTATTGAAAAGAGTACTCTTTGTTCTGTGTTCATTCTTTTGAAAATTTTAATGGGCATTTTTAATCAGTTAAACTTGTTCTGTAAATAAACGTAATAATGATATCCCTAGCCTATAAGCAGATGATGAGAAGCTAACGAAGTAAACAATGATGGCAACATCTTATTCTGTATAAACTGTTGTTCTTGCTTAATTTAAAATCGATATTATTTTAAAAAAACATCAATATTGTTAATGACGATTATTCTAGAACATATATATATATATAATTGTGAATCTGGAGGAGGAATTTACCGAAAAGAATATTCTTCACTCAGACTTCCTTTTGTCTTCTGAAAGTGTATTTTATTAATTATTTTCATGTTAGCATTAATTTACAAATGCTGTTTATTTAAACATAGTTTTTCATGAAGAAAAAAACATGATATTTAATACCATTTTATAAATAAACAGTATTAAATAATTATTCCATTCAAATTGTAGGCTATTCAACGTATCATTGATTCTTTCAAAATTGAGAGATCAAAGCAGATGTGAGGTGTGCAAATAAAAATTAGCTCACCCAGCAATCTGAACTTTCAGCTTTCAAAAGATAAGTCTACGGGTTAAAAACCAGACTGCATCAACTTAGATCTATTAAACAGACTACCATCAAAAGATGCAATCGAAAACATTTATTTCCCGATACGAATTTAATACAAGCAACAAAACAGGTTAATAAAGCAGGATTTAATGAATCCATCAAATTTCGGTGGAACTCGTCAGCTGAATACTCTACATAGACGGATATACATACTATTGAAATCACATTAAGAGATATAAGACTGATAAGCAAATAAACTATATTGGATTAGTCATGCAGAAAGACAGGTGCGAATGTTTTCTAGGTCATGTTCTCAAATAGATAAGGGGAGAGAGAGTAAGAGAGATCAAAATTAAGATAAATTGCATTACGCTTCAATTACATCACTTAGATAAACAATTAGTCATTAGAGAATTTTTCAAGAATTGAAAACAGAGTAATATCAATAGTAATAGTTATAATAATAATAATAATAATAGTGTTGAAGTGAGTCAAGATAATCCTACTGATAAAGGATAGTTTTAAATGAATCAAGAATAATAAAAATGAGAATAATAATAGTAATAATAAAAATAATAATAAGAGGTAGAATACTATTACCATGGTAGATTCAGAGTGACGACTATCTCCTTTTGTACACAGAGACCTGGTTTGTAAACTGGAATTGCACAAGCCTCTGCAATTGCAAGCATCTTCTTGTTTTTTTGTCTGCTGACAATGGTGAATGACTTGGTCGCGTCGATATCATGTCCGTAGTCCACAAGATGTTTTGTTATTGAGGATTTTGGCACTTTGCATTCAGCTGTTTTCAACCATTTTGGCAAATGCTCCATCATGCGAGTAGACAATTGCCTTTCCGTACGACCCATGTATTTGCTTCCACAAACACACCCAAATTGACATACGCAGTTTGAAGTATCGAGGACCAGTCGCCAGTCTTATATCTCTCAATATAATTTCAAAAGTATATATATCCGTGTATGTAGAGTATTCAGCTGACGAGTTCTACCGAAATTTGATGAATTCATTAAATCCTGTTTAATTAACCTTTATTGCTTGTTTTAAAAGATGCAATTCATTACATTGGCCTTATAAACTAGAAGGCAACAAAGCGTTTATTGCGGAATTTACGTGTGAAACTAAATGCCGAAAAATTCTCATTTCATAATACTAATTAGGCTTCAGAGTTTTGTCAGAAGCCACCTTCACTTCATACTGAAGATCAGATGACCGGGCCAGAGAGGATTAGCAACAAGGAACTCTGGTAATGCAAGGAACCGACCAAGAACCTACTGTTCAACATATATAGCGAAGAAAATAGATGGAGATGGACAGGACACATGTGCTAAGGAAACCATTGAGCGACACTGTGCACCAGACCGTCCAGTGGAACCCTAGTGGAAAACGATGAAATAGGCCTTCCAGGGCAACATGAAGGAGATCGTGTGACAGGCTGATAAGAGATTATGGGCAATCGTTGAGCCGGCTAAAGAGGCCTGCAAACATACGCTGTTGAACCCCTATGTTCTACTTAGAACCTGATGAAATAATGACAATAACAATAATAATAAGTTTTCAGGGGGGATTTGATTTGTTTCAAGTCTGATCACGGATTGATATCATCTGGAGGACCAGTGAAAACCAGGGAGTACTGGACATTTGTTTCGCCCCAGTTTGGGACTCGTCAACAATACGCACCCATCGGGTTTCGAACCCAGGGCCTTCTGGTTATAAGGCAAGCTCGTAGACCATTCAGCTGATGATATTGACTGGTGGTCATGCTAAAATCATGAATTGACATAAGTTAGGATTCATGTGCCACTGAGTCGGGTCCCTGTGGTTGAATGGTCCACCAGCTCGCCTTGTAACCCGGTGATCCTGGGTTCAAACCTCTGTGGTGAGTCCCAAACTAGGACGAAACAACCCTCCAGTACTTCCTGATTTTTATTGATTCTCCAACTGATATCAACCCGTGATCGAACCTGAGATGATAATAATAATAAGTATTTACGACAAATGACCAAGTGGAAATCCTAGTCAACATACCACTATGAAGCATAATTTTATATCCCATGAAATCGCTTTCTGATTCGCCTGGTAGATAGGTAGAAAGCACCACTATTCTGAACATACTATACGTTTCAGAAACACTGGATAGGTTTTTAAAGAGAAACACAGACTGACTCGTGTCCCTACAACTATCTTCGTAATTTAAACAGTAATATTCCTTAAACATTCAGATGAATTTAGTGACTCAACATCCCACTGTTATTATAAAAAGTGGCTGTGCTAAACCAGCCAAAATCCCTGTAATGTAGACATATATATGGCTCCAAGCTAGAGCTTTGAAGTCTCGACAGCAGTGGTCTTTATTTCTACAGGGTAGGGGTGCTAGCCTCACACTCAACCTTCCCTTTTAACAAACTTTAATCTGTCGAAGGGTGAAGATATGATCAATACACTCTCTTCTTGGTCGGTGGCACAGTGGTTAGGACTCTCGCCGACCATGCACACGGTTCGAGGTTCGATCCCCCGCCGACGCACACCTGATATCTATGGTCCGCCTGCTAAATTTGGGCTACCGATATCATATGCTGGAAATTTCATACTTGCACCAAAATAATGTGTGGAATCAAGCTATAATAAAATTAAAATTAAATTAATTAAAGCCCGCCTGGTCCTCTCATATTTGTTCCTCTCGAGCACCGCTTAATCTACGCATTATTATTGAGCCTAGAACTTTAGATACCAATCCCCCTGTAATTATCACAGGAAGACTTTTCTCCCTTTTTGTATGTCGGGATAATCAATGACTTACACCAACCCAACGGGACGACTCGGACTCGAACTGCTGCACATCGGAGCAAAGTTCTATGTTGAAAACAGTCAGTCAGACAGACTTTAATGCCGGCTTAGCGAGGTTTAGGGGTGCGTCAGCAGAGGGCTGATTCCCGGACCACGTGTGTGGTTGGAGAGCATCCTACCACCATACAACCGACGCACTGTTTTTCTTTAGGTTGCACTATTTACAATAATTCTATCTCCAAAACATCACAATTAGATCATTGTACAATCTATTCTTAAGCTGAAGTGTGATATTCAGTTAATCGTGACTCAACTGCTCCCTACACGTCTTCTGGGTACTACAACGCTGAGGGTTCCGTTAAATGTGTAGAGGCCTGTAATTCTACCTATCTGCTTATCACCTTGATACAGACAAAACAGGATCATGAGGAGGGATCAAGTTGAAAAATCAAATTGACAATAAAACACCAAGTTTTTTTAACCAACAACTCTCAACAGTTCAACCATTCTAGGACTAATTGTGCTTAACTCCCTTTAACTTTGTGAAAGAATAAGACGTTTTAATTCTAATAGAGAAAAAAGACAGACTTAATACACTAACTTCCGTATTAACTGAGGTACATTTATTACCAATGACCATTCAATAAACAAAGATTAACATAAAAATTAATGTCAGAAACGTAATATATATATTGTACTCACTTGGAATAGTTGTCACTACTTCGCCAACCTGTAATCTATACAGAATTGTTGTCTTTCCAGCTCCATCTAAGCCTAAGATGAGAATTCTGCGTTCCTTATTCCCAAATAAGCGAGAAAATAGACTGAAGATGCCACCCATAAATAATACCTTCGGTTGTTTTGTTATTCACAAGAAGATTGTCTGCGTGTATTTGATTGATTATTATAACTCGATATGACTCCAGCAAACAGAAGTCGGTGGCCTTTCTGAAATTTACAAAGAAAATAAGTGTGCGTTCAATCTAATGATCGACAGGGATTAATGTTCTGTCTTGAGTATTCAGCTACTCACATTTTAAATAAACTATTCAGAAGAATTTTGAAACAGCTTAACAAGGAGGAGCATAATGAAGTTGCTCAGAGACATGGGAATCTGTATACACAATCAATTCTTTCTTGTGATTTTGTTTGAGTCATGGCATTGGATTGGGTGCTAGGTAAGGCGGGGAAATCAATCGACGAAACTGTGAAATTACTTCGACTGAGATGGTTAGGACATGTGTTACGTATGCCTAGTCATCGCCTTCCTCGACAATGGGCAATGTTAGCTGATATAGGGCCAGACTGGAAAAGAGCTAGCGGCGGTCAAACCAAAACATGGCACCAGTCAATGAAATCTACAACAGTTAGTCTAAGCCACGTAGGAAGGTGTAGACTTCCTGGTTGGGGTCCTCGGGACGGTGAAAACCAATGACAGCTGGAAACAATTGGTGACATGGCTGGCTGAAAATCGTTGTCAATGGCTGGCGCAGATGCATCCACTCCTTGTGACTTATGATTTCCAATGAAACTATATTGTTCTTCTTTATTACTACTCCTTTGTCCCACACCTCTGTTTACTGTCTATATTATGCATTTCTACTTTCTTCTCTTGCTTTGTGTGCTTCATGGAGTGTGGCGACTTGAACTGCCGCACATATGTGCAAAGTTCTATGCCGACCGACCGACCGATACACAATCCATATTTAACACTTTTACGATCGAATGTGCCAGGTTTCAAATAGATACCAAAATACTTGAGTTACCAAAGTAGGTAGTTAGGATTCAGTTATCCGGAACTGATTTCTGATATGTAGTCTGAAGTAGGCGGAACAAGATTCAAAGCGAAGAACTATTGGTAGAAAATTGAATGCTTATGGCAATAAGTCACATCTTCATTATTACTTATTTGAATCCTCATCACCAATGAGGAATATATAATGGTAAGATATCGAGACAAATCGCTAGAAAATTCTTCAGAATCTGTCAACAGGTGAATATGTGATCTTTAAATATTCCCATTTTTAATAATAGAACAAGACATATAAGCGAACAATATTGTTGTTTTCAATTAGATCTTCTTCAGGCTTTACTCTAATTTACATAGATTTATATATAAAAATTTTTAACCAATGACGGTGATTTTGTGGATCAAATACTAATGTGGTAAATATTTTGAGCGAAGTTAATAACGATGATTATAATGATAACAAAGTATTGATAATGAGGTTTATGCAGGTGGCGATAAGAATAACAAAGGTAGTAATATATGTATATGTAGACAACTCAATAAATAAATTTGGTCAAATCTTAAAAGTTACGTAATACTAAGGGTGAAGTGGACAGATAATCAAACTTTAAATAAATAACATAAAAATACGAAGGAGATGGAAAATAAGAAAGGGTGAAAAGGTTTTGAATAGAATTCACGTAGGCCAAGGGAAAGACAAAGGTATAACAAACCTCTTTTGTATGCAAAGACTAGGATTGTTCTCTCAAATTCCCATAGCTTCGGCTATATGTGAAAGACGGATTCGAGTTCCGTTCGAAAGGCTCGATGGAATGTGATAGATAACTTTTAAGGCACTATTTTTGTCCACTTGGTGACCGCTATCAATCAAATGAGCCAAAATAGAACTTCTTATAGATTTTATTTGACCTCTTCCAAACCATGAAGGAAGATGCTCAATAATGCGTTTGTTAAGCTGTCTAGTTGTTCGCCCTATATAGCTCTGTCCACAGGAGCAACATTACATCCTCACTGTGAACTAAACGCTGCATGGTCCGCACGCGTTTTTTGCTTCACTCGAGGTCCACTCAGTCTATACATGATTATTGAACCTAGAACTTAAGATACCACGTTAATTAAGCTTATTACCTTATTATTATAACAGGAAGTGTATCCTTTCTTATATAGTTGAATAATCAGTGGTTTGCACAAGTCCAACAAGAGTATTACAGGCTTCTACACATTACCTATATCTTAGTTAACTCACAGACAATAAGTTTGTCACCACCTGGAGTCAATCGACAGAGTCCCACTGCTTGTACTCAAACCCTTCTAACCTTAGTTACAAATGGAGAACCGATGTTTACATACAATTTAGATAAGTATTCGATGCTAGACAAGTTGAGTGTGGGACTGTAGGTCAGTTAAATTGCTCCTCAATGTATTACCTCCAACGTTTTAGTCTTATATCCTTAGAGGTAATAATAACATCGTTTTTCTCCAAAACTGTTGCACTTATTTGTCTTTCACAAAAACTGTTTCCCTAATAAGCCTAATAACTGTCTGGTGTTACTATGAATTTATTTCTATATTAAATTTAACAACTGCTACAACAATTTTAATGTTATATTTTACATTCTATACTTGTCTGTAGATGAAAATTAAAAAATAAAACCAATCCTAATGAACTATTCGCAATAAAAATTAATGCAGCCCTATAAATGCGAGAAAATGTATAATTCCTAGGAAGCTAAGATAGAAATGTTCAGTGAACTAAGAGATAGTCGATGCTGTTTTTGGATTAAGTATTTTGAATCTCTAAGTTTAGCCCAGAACCACATTATACCATGCTTTTATGATGAAACAGAAAAGCAAGTGTAACTTAGGAACCATGCACAGGTGTGTGCTTTATGCAGTCAGCCATATCTATTGTATGAGACGTGGTCAATTGGCCCTAAGCATCAGATTAATGACCAATAAGGTCTCAGCTTCAAATCTCGCTCTACCTGCCTCAGTTTGGATAAATTGTGTTCTGTCGTTAGCCCTCATAGAATACGTGAGGACCATAGCCCAACAGCTTGTGAGTTCCAATCACAACCAGATTCCACAACATGGAGTGGCGTATAAAACTATGACGCAGTGGCTGAAAGGTGAGTCCCAACCAATAGGCGGAACTCTCTTTACTTAGCCTATCTACACAGCTAGAATCTACATCCTTCAAAACGCCTTTGAAAAATATCACCGAAACCAAGATTACGGAAAAAAGAAATAGAGCAAATTCGCCTAGATAAATTGCACAGCTACTGATTATTTGCAATACAGAAAATGAAGTTAAGCAACTCATTTTGCATGAGGTGATTAAGTACATGATGAAGAAATGAAATTATGCAATATCCGCATCCAAAGTTCTCAAAAAACTACCTCTTTAAAAGCCCTTAAAACAAAACAGTAGGAATTACTTCTGACTAGAGAATCAGGCTATACTGATTTCTGCATAACGCAAGCCATTAGTAAAAATAGGTGCAGCGCTTATAATACCATTTCAGCCTAATTTTCAGCTACATTAAAAAGTACAACACTTGTTGACTGAATACCATTTGAAACGCTACTTCTCACAACCTAACTGACTGGTTTCAATAAAGGCCTTTGCACAGAAGTACATCAGTCCAAGTGACCACACTCCAATCAGCACACAAAGGAAAACAAAAGATTCGGAGAAAAAGTTAATGAACAGAATTGTGAGGAAGAAAGAATAGTAATATAGATATGGCAGATCAAGAGTAAATGCATGGGAAACACTGAGAACGATTTTGAGCTACTTCAGCAATTGTCTCTAGCCACTGGTCCTTAGAATCCTGAGGACCCTGACCAGGCAGTCCACACCTCTTTACGCAGCTCAAACCAAGGGTTAAAGATTTCATGCATTGAAGACAGGTTTTGGTTTGATCACCACCTCTTTTCCAACCTAATCCTATGTCAGTTAACATTGTTTGTAGAGGAAAACGACAGTTAGGCATGCGTAACACTCAACACCTAACTTCAATATTACTCACCCTATTATACCAGCTAGCACAGGAGGTAGAACACAGACAACCATGGTCAAACACAACTAGTCTGTTCATGTCTTTCACCTTTTATGAACATGCGCCACAGCCATAAAGGAGGACGGAGCAGCACACACGTGCTTTGGTCGGCAGTTGGATATCGCGTCTACCCCAGAGATGACGTAAGTTGGCAAATGTCACACGAGCCATCTTCATTTGTGCTTCTCGCAGTTACATCACTGTGTGGTACGATATGACCAAGAAGAATAAATCATGGCCAGGGCACTTTACAGTAAACACTACTGTTTTAAGTGACGTGCCCAACAAATAAAAATCTGATTGCACTTTACACACCATCTAATTATTATTATTAATTAAAGACACCGTTCCTCCCCCCCCCCTCTAGCAGCGGGACACACATATATGTAACACCCAACACTTATACCAAAGGAAATGGAGGCAAATCGGACACATGCTGAAACGACCGCTGAGCGACATCAGAAACCAAGCGTCCGAGTGGAACCCGATTGGGAAACGACTGGTTGGGTGTCCAACTGTGACATGGAGGAAGTCGTATGAGGAGATGAAAGTTAATGGTCAATTGTCTAACCAGCTAAAATGGCTATAGGGAACAGGATGAAATAGCAATGTGATTGATGCTGAAGCACCATGGCCCAATCGGAACCCGAGGGAATAATAATACGTACAACCAGTTTTTGGCAGGGAATTGAAATTACTGACTACCTAATTGACAGCAGTGAATAACACATACAAAAACTTAATTATTATTCACTAATCATTTTGCTGTGTGCTAGAAGACGCAGTGAGAGATTAACAATTACAGTTTACTGTACTTGGTCGCTCTGAGTATATTGAAAAATGAAGTCATTTACATTAGGAGGCTTGGAGTTGAAACGAGATTGGTGAAAAACTAGTATCTGAAGGCACACATCAAATAAACAGCAGACATTGTTAAACAATCAATAATTTCACCTAAGCATATAGCGTTGCTTTTCAAACAACAGAACCCACCCTAAGCAAGACAGCTGCTTCACATGTCTCAAAGAGTTTGGTATGCACAGTTACTATTTGACAACATCGGATAGATAAAATAAGTTTAGTCTTGACATTCGGTTGTAATACCAGGTGTGTACTACTTTCTTCCACTGACTTTAAGGGATGACAACGTAAGATGACATTCGCACACATTAAAGCATCATAGGAATTTTAACAGAATGCAGAGGGGAGCAGCGATGATGGATATACCAGCGACAGGTATTAACTACAACTATTGCAATACTTCTCAAATGGAACATAAGTATGCAAGCATTACTCATGCAATATTTATTTAGTGGCTTCTTCTGCCAATAGTATCTATGACCCCTGTGAAAATGGGAAGTGGTGGGCGTTAATTTATACATCAAGCAGTAGAAATCCTGTTGGAAAAGACGCGTACCCGCCCAAACATCTTCAGTGCTGATATTTTGGCCGATTTCCGCCTAGTATACAGTGTTGAATCAATTTTTGAAGTACTATAGAAAATATATTGCCAATCAAAAAAATTGTGAGTAATGCAGTAAAAACAGGGAAAGAGAATGCCTTTTCGTCCCTATATTCAAAATCTACATGTATAATGTTTTGTAAATATACATCTCCATGCAAAAAGCTCTGTCGAGAAAGACTGACTCCTTAAAGATAATATGAGACTCAGTATTCAGACGCAGGTTTACACCTTTGGACTTTGCAGTCAGAATTAATATTTCCCCAGCCAGTAATATTCTTGGGTACATTTAGGTACTTGTGAAGTACTCAAAGTAACACCACATCTTTACGCCACATTAGGCCTGAAAATAAAAAATATTGCCAAAATGTGTGTAAAAAGTATCATAGTGACAAGACTATAAAGATATTTATCCAAAGTTAAACCATCATAGCCAAAACGACAGTGACCTTGGACGATTAATCAGAATTCAGATGCAAAAAAGTCGCATGATCGTTGAAAATGCACTGAAAAACATTACAAACATGATGTTATACTATATAGTTGTCGCTTATGTGTTATAAGAATGCCTCCCAGCCACTACACAAATGACCTATAGAAAAATCATACCATGAGCAAATAAATGCATTTATGCAGGTGACTGTAGGTCATAGCACTTTGAGACACTGTTCTTAAACATACTACTAACTCTAACCATAATCCTAATTTCAACCCTAATCTCAACCTTAACTGTAGACACTAAACCTTAATCTAAAAAGCCATAACCCTACCTAACAGTGTAGATTTACAGAAAAAGTACCTAGAGAGTAAGTGGAATACTGTATCTACCTTCTCCAAGTGCCAAAAAACAGGAATGATTTGTATTGGAATGACCTTTCCTAGCATTCCCTGTACCTGACTACCTCTTGAAGATCAACTTTTGAAAGATCTTGGCTTTAGCTATGATATTTTAACTTCATCATGTACCAAAAAAAAACTGGTGACTAAACTATAGCAGCCCTAAACGAAACTACCTCTAGCGACCTATCAGACGCGTTAGAAGTAAGAGTGCGTAATTTGGAATACACATATAAATACAAGTAATGTAGTGTTAAAACATGATGACAAAAAATAACAGTCTTGCATATGTTCCAAGAAAAAACCCCGTTTCTGTAAATAAATCCGTCAAGGTCATAAATCCATCCACTAGGCCGTTTCGTTTTAGGCTGCTAAAGATTAGAGTCACCAAAAATTGTTCCCAAAGAATTTACGCAATTCCCAGTTAAGGAAACGGAATGAACACCGCATATATGGGCGGTAAAACCACGTACTCTAATGTTGTCAACTGTAGCCCTAAAATTGAATCTACCTAATATACACGTTCAATTATCAATGTCATGACGAACTGCGAAGTGTCTATAAAAACTGTTTGAATGAGAGTAAACAACAATTCATCAGTAACATTACAAGCCTAGGCAGATTTTGAGGAATACACTATGTGGGGATGAAATGCCGATGCAGTTAAGGCTTAAGATGACTGCAGTCGGTATTTCTTTGGCAAATTAGAATACCAAAAGGCTATTGCTCTAAAGCCAAAATTTATTCTTTAAATGAACCAATGCACTTTAATTTACATCGTATAGTTCACTAGACGTTCCTAAACCCATAAAAAGTGGGAAGACTGAACTTTAACGCCACAGACGCAGGAAAAATACATATTATGAATAAATTTATTCGTCGCTGGAACCCAGGGAACAAAATCACGCTGGCTTTTATCAGCCAGCTGGTCAATTTGTCTTCCTTAGATGAAAGAAAAAGAAGCACCTGGACATAGGATATCCGCAAGACTTTTGAAGGTTAAAAGGGTGCTAAAATAGAAAAGAAATGATGTTGAGTATAGAACACACTGTGAGGATGGCTCTCATGACGTCAACAGTTGCATAAATTGTACTCATTCTCTGGGAATAAATGCAAGTTAACCGAAAAGGTAGAAAACTGGCAGATGTCTACCGACAGGCGAAATGCCGCAAAACACCTCAGGCGTAAGAGGGGGGAATTCTATATGACGACTGCAAACAATAATGGACAAGACCCCAGAAAAATGGCAACATCGAAATTATAATATTTCATATAAAAGCCAAATTTGGGGCATGCGACTCAAGAAGGAAAATTGGTCCAGAATAGCTCTGTGAAGGGGATGAGAATGTAGAATTTTCTGCAAACTTCCGTGTTTTACTGATCCTGTGACTGAAGACAGAATGTAGAGACACATGGATACACAAAAGACGACATGCATTTCACCTAATGGATATTCCAAAATTCAGATAGACATCATTTCAATCTAAAAAAGGTGGAGACTCATACTTCTGGGCACAAATTCGAGAAGAGGAGTGAATGTAGTCTCACAGCAAAGTTTATGATAAAATCCCATCAAAATCAAGTTCAAAACAATTGAAGAAGTTAGCGACACACCAAAGTTCAGTTACAACACTCTGAAAATGAGGCTTAAAATCACAAATGATAAACTCACTAAAGCCATCAGAGGAAGCCAGAGACAGTATGTAGCCTGAATGGAGAAACCAGGGTGGAGAGACACTGTAGCTATCGGAAGTCAATATTGTAGGAATCCTATATAGACGTCTTAGGAAGAAAGAAGGACCAAGAAAATGAACGGCTCTATACTGACACCTGGAACTGACAATTTATATAGGCATAGTTAAACAGAAAATGAACTATTTCAGAGGCGAACAACGAAAGGAGAAGTTGAGATCAGAATCAGTGTACTAAATATAAATTCATCTCAGCGCATATAACTTCTTAAAAACCATATATACGATTTTACAGCTTGATGATAAATTCCTTGAAAAGTCTCTTCGCTGAATCACTTGTTTTCATTTTCTAAATATAATAGTGACGAAGAGTGTAAGGAGGGACAAAAGACAGTTATACGACTCAATGGCAACCGAAGCAGAACAGGTCACAGGTAAGCGGAACCTCTGAACATTACATCAGAAAATCAAGTCGCTGTTTAGGAAAAGAATACCACAGAGGGAACCAAGGGAAAACGGTAAACGGGCACCGTAAATGACTGCTGAACCGGCCACTACCTTTAACTTCTCCATAAATGTCATTAATAGTCACGGGACCGCTACTGAACATCAATACAGTGACAAAAGCAGAAGTCCTGAATAACATAATGTTACCTAATGCTGGGATGCTGGGCCAAGAAGAACTCCCGAAGAAGCATTGAAATAGACCCGAAGGACTTGCATGACATGCTTACTCTGTTACAGAAGGTTTGGCAGGTAAGCAAGATTCTGCCAATTGGAAGAAGGACTAAGGTTCGAACTTTTAAAGTGGGGCGGTTAAAATCATCGCATTAAGTTTCATCACCCTAGAAAGATTAAAGGGAGTTCTTAAGTACAACTCTGCCATGAAGAAGCTAAATTAAAGAAAAGTAAATTATGTGCGAATCAAATTACAATGCTATACACCATCATCGACCAATGCACAGAATGTCAGTAAATCTCTATCTCAATTTGATAAACCCTGAAAAGGATATCGAAAGCTTCAATCCTGAGCTAATTTGGAACCCCTTTCAGCAATGCGGAGTCCAGCAAACACTTATGAAACTCATCTATTAGTAGTACGATGATTACCTACGCCAAGTGACCCACAATACAAAGCTCACCGAAGCCTCCAAATTGAAGATAGTAGCAAGGCAGACTGCCTACTCTCACCAACTATATTCATGATTGTAAAAGCCTGGATCATGTGGAGACTGTGAGAACTTACAAGTGAGGAATAGGTTGGATAGACAAAACGGATGCAGACTCCGAAATTCTCGGACGACTTTCACCCAATTTCACAGAAACTCAACATACAGGCGAAAACCCACGAGTTGGTGACGAAGACAGGACTTCAAGTGACCACTGAGAATACAGAGGTTATGAAGATTTCAAACCAACAATAACAAGTACGAACCATTATTACAAGTGAAAGAACTCTTAAAGGAACCACCTCCTCCAGTCACACCAATATCATACTTTTTCACTTTATTCCAAGCAATCATTTTACCTACAGAATAGGATTATCAGCGTTGTACATATAGCAGCAATTAATCTCTTTTGCGAAACTTAAAACAGTCAAAATAAAAAAACCTGGAAGTTGGTGGAAGAATAATACAAGTGAAGTGGATATTTGACTCTATGTATCATTATTACCCCTATGGAGTCCAAATGGAACACAGGGCTTAAAATCATATATCCGTTTTGTCCTGTCCTCTGCAACTGGCGTCTTAATCTTCATAAGTTGCGTATAGTCAAAATCTTATCACCCAAATACTTCAAGCAACCCATTCATAGATGGTATGAAGATTTTTAAGCTAATCAGGTGAAGCGCAGTCACTAGGCAAACCAGTTGTTATAACTATGAAATTAGTAATAGTGTCGACCTTAACCTTGAGAGTGGCTAAGTTACCAGAAGCGGCGTTTTGAATAAGCATCAAAATGTGCAGATGGGGATGTCAAGCAAATGACACAGTATCTTATTGTTCTTTATGAACTGAAAACTATTAATTAAGACGTACATGTGTAAATGGTGTGGAACAAGGTTTTGCAAAGTCTGTCTCATTGGAGATTTTCAAGGAAAAATGACGTCGGAAGATCACTGTTTCGTGTGTAATCAGGTAAAAGACGACTGTAACTGCCTCACAGCTAAACAGTCGAGAGATTCTGACGGTAGATTGTGAAAAAAGTTAAGGACTATGCATTCCCTGGTCCTATTATCTTAGAATTTTGCTCATTTCGAAGTTAGATAAGATAGTAATAATTATTTTATTAAATATTAAGAGGAAGTTGATCAGTAGTACTGTCGTTTTATGGTGTTCACACAAGGTATACTATAGCAACTATAGTTCGATTTATTCAAGACCAAGGTATTTGTTACTATGAGGGAAACTTGAACTAATTTTTAACTCACAGAGGTGAAGACTCCACCGAGAGAACACACATGGAATATGCTGTACAAATTGGGGGTAAGTGGGAGATATAGATGGATAACATTAGGTAAAATTCAAAGTAAATAACCCGCTTTCCAAATGTTCCTCCACTGTCACAGTACGGTACCTTACTCTGAATGTAGGGTGAATAGTTCTGTATGACGTCTATTAAACATTCTACCTTCAGTTGTGAGAACTAATTTTCTAAATTAGAATAAAGCCTGTATTCCCATCGATTTTACGGTAGCTGACACAATTGCAACATAATTTGAGTAATGTGGGAAACAGATGAACAAGTGACTGAAGCCTTTTATTGCACTAAGACCAAACTATTCATAAGCACGACAGAGTAAAAAACTATCTTTAAATGCGTATATAGCCAATTATGGTTGATATTTTTTTGAATAAATCAGTAATTTTATTTACTGAAGAAAAATGTTTGACAACAATGAACGACTTATTTTTGTGAATATTTGGATTTAAAGTAGCATCTTCATGGTTTAACTATGGATGAAAACGAATGGTGGATTATCCTAAACCTTCCCAAAATCAAAACTCATACTGATAAACTAGTCACCAAAATCTCTGAGTATTTTTATATTTCACTCGAAAGAAAGACGAAATTAGGCTCCATCTTGCTCTCTGTGCCTAACCATTTTTCGGAAGCACTACTGACTAAACTGTAATGTAACTGTTAACTCAATGGTAATTAATGTGCTAGGTAATATACAAAATGTTCGTCTGACAAATTTTTTCGATGAAAAACATCATTTCAGTTATGAACACGTTTAAGCTATCATTTTCTGTTTGAATTGTTGTTCAGCTTTTATGACATGTGTGAAAGCTCTTTTGTAGAATGTGAAAAAGTTAACACTAAACATTCAGCAAAATTTATAGGGTGGTTGTTGAATTTGGAATGTATTAAAAAACCATATTTCTTCACTAAAGCTAGCTGTAAACAATGAAAGAAAATGATGCCATTGGATGATATTATGGTTACATATACTGGACTAACCCACAATTTATCTTATCCTGGAATTCCTTTAGTTAAAGAGCTTCTAGTCTTGAGGCTTTTGGGTAAGTAGTGCGAGAGGAATACCCATGTCAATTAATTGGATAATCTTGGAAGGTTTTGCTAGATAGTTTTCGTTGTTTTTCAAACTTTTATCTTACTTTATTCACTGAAGGATGCAGCAAGGACCTACTGTAACCATCACAGAGTAATTTCATCAACTTCTAGCTTTTTCACAGAACAGCAACTTCAATTAACTGTGGATTGTCAATCCAACCAAAAAATGAGTAACACAGAGGAAAAGTATCGATAAGGTGTAAAGTTGTACGGAAAAGATGACACACATTAATTTCTGAAATATTTACCTGACTGATATGCCTAGAACAATTTCTGCAGATTACTAGGAAAATGAATATAAAATCTTAACCAAGACAAGCATAAGAGCAGCACTCACTAGGATTTTGCAGAGAGTACACAAGCAATTTCTTTTTCGATTTTTGAGAATTTAACTGTATGAATTATCAAAGTATTTCAAACGGCAGCATTAAGTCCGTAGTATCTTCTAAAATTTTCATAATCCGACACGGTGAAGGACTTGATTTTTAATCCAGCCGGTTTAAACTCGTTCGAAAATTTAAAAAATACACTAATTTGTCTTAATTTCCTAGAAATTATGGTTGCTTCCATGACTGAAATCTTAATTCAATCTTTGACATGAAGTGCCTTAAGACTGACTAAACAAATAACCTTCAGTATCCGAAATTTAGATTTCCATCAGCGACTTTAGTTTAAGTCTATTGTTCTTTATGCACAAAGAAGCATATCAAAAAATCGTTGGAGATACTGATAAACTAGATCACAAAATGCTGTAATCAAGTACTGTTATTTATTTATAAATAAAAGCTTTTGGTCGCATAAACTATGAGTTTGTAGGCTGAATACGTGGAGATTCTTCGAAAACTCAAATCCGAAGACGTGATATGACCTTTCATCGTTTAGATCACTTTTATCAGGCAGGGTGCAAAAATGCTGGTCAGCAAAAAGTGATCCTTTACTACTCAATAACATTTTTATTATTTCAAGAAACTTCTCAGAAATAACAATCTATTTTCAAGTATGCTCACTAGCGACTGGCCCTATTCAGGCAGTGACCTGGGGTCCTAGTGGGAAGCCGTGACAAGTAGGGTGCAGCAGGTTGAAGGTGAGGCAGTAGCTCATCAAAGAAGAAATTGTAAAGTGGTCGCGCTATGTCATGAATTGGCAGAAGTTAGAATTCATGGACCATTGGTTCGGGTCCCAGTGGCTTAATGGTCTACGAGCTCACCTCTTAACAAGAGGGTTCTGGGTTCGAGCCCCCGTGATGGGTGCGTACTGATGAAGAGTCCCAAAAGTAGTCTGACGAAACAGCCGTCCAGTACTCCCTGCAGGTTTTCCAATGGTTCTTTAACCGATGTCAGCTGATGCTGAAATCCTCTAAACAATCTATTTTCTTGATTAAATGATTTTTTAAAATGCCATTGTCATAGTGGTTGGTGTCCAAAGAACTAGTCGACTGTCAGAAATGCCAACTGAAGCTGTATAATCTATGCATAGATAAAATTTTTTTCGGTATGATAAATTTACCAACAAATGCTTATCTACATTAGAATAACGTAAGTGGTCGTTGTTGTCACTTCAGTGCCTGTTTATTTGAAATTTCAGGGTGGATCACTTAATCATAGTTTCAGCACATTTAGTAAATTCACTTAACTAACTAGCACTCTTTTCTACTTTAGTTACAGTGAGTGCAACCGTCATTTAGCAGAAGCTATAAGAGATATCATTCGTTCACACTGTCCGAAATAGACATCTAAATACTCTTGTAGGTAGCTAACATTGAATCAGTCACAACACACTTCTAATATGAATACAACTTTGTTATATAAGGATGGGTATGCATTATTTAGAAAATTTCAAGAAGTGATTCAACGAAGAGAATCTTTCTAACAAATTTATTATCAAGCTGTACAACACTATATATGATTTTTCCGAATAATAATGTGAATCACGATAAAGTATCTGTGATTATAAACATGGTTAAACATCAAGTAACTTAGCTGCTGATAGCCTTAAAAGAAGGTTCTCACAGTCCCTGAAAAGGATATTCGCTACAGCAGTGTTGACAATAGGGTTTTCTGGTCGACCAAAAACAGATTCAGTGACCTGGAGGATAAGATCCAACAGATGACCAACTCGTTGTGTGTCTACCAGTTCACCTGCTTCTGTAGATACTAGTCACCTCTCTACAGCCCCTTCCCTATCAGTTCAAAAATAACCTGTCAAAATCACTACATGTCCAACTCATCTAAGTAATAAACTTAGACTGTAATTATTATTTTCACTTCGAAAAATTCCTGGCAACATCTCACTCGTTTTTATTCCATACCTTTGGGTTCCCAGTGAGATCTATGGCTTCGAAGTTTCAGTGACGGTGGTGCTATTCCTTTTTACGGAATGATGTGGCTAGCCTCAAGCCTAACCTTCTCTCATTACCGAGCTTACCATCGGCTAAGAGAAATCTAGGAGTGTACTGGCTGACAATTAAAATCCCGGAATACATGCGTGTTTGTCGAACAGTCTACTACTGGACCACCGATGCACTATCCCACTCGCTGCCTTTATCTATAGTTCTTTCTAAATGTTTTAATTGCTCACTAATCTTATTAATTCTATACCCACTTGTTAGACTGAAACATTCCATGATCCATTTCTGATTGACCAAGTGCCTCATCTTTACAACCATTCTGGGTAATGTTCTCTAACACATTCTGATAAAGCCCGCATAGAACAACCTATGCACCTAGCTCCGTAGAAGCAGGTGGATCAATATATGCACATTACAGTGGTCATATGCGGAAGATTTTCTTCCATATTGCTTGAAAGCACTGGGCGGCTAGGGAATATCACTCTTACAGTTGCTGCAGGAAAGGTCTTCTTTAGGGAACTAGGGATTCTCCTCTTAAGGCTATCTGCAGCTAAGTCTCCCCTGAAGTCTAGATTCAAATACAATGTTTTCTTTGATACTGCATATGATCACTCCAGTGTGTATATATCAATTCACCTGCTTCTACGGAGCTAGGTACGTAGGTCGTTCTATGCACGTCCTTTCAAAACGTGTTAGAGAACATTACCCAGCATGACTGCAAAGACGAGGCACTGGTCCCATCAGAAGAGCCATAATTGAACACCTCGTCAATACCTATGACAGCATCTCAACCGACACATCATCCAGAGTCAGTTACAAAGTGAATTGAAAAAGCTACCTGCCTTTCCAACTTCTTTGTACTGCAGAAGCCCTTGTCATATGCATTGAAAAGCCAGAGCTATTTGTTCAAAAGAAACTAGTCTAACTTCTAAATTTACCATGGATCTAGTTCGATCTGACTCCCTAGTTTCCTTTTTTTCATTTACAGTTATAAAAACTATTATTCCAGTCTGTGTCCATGCTCACCCCGTTTACACCTGTATTCGTTAAAAAACTATTTCCTAATCCTGTGTAATTTTGTTTGTAATCCTAGCTTGTAATTTACATTCACAATTTCCAACTTTCTTATCACCTTTAATCGCCTTCGTTATTATGTGTTAATTCTCTATATCTTAATCGATATTTTCCATGAAGTATACGAAATATCAAAATATTCAAAACAGTTGGTTCCCTTTATGGATTTTGACAAACCAATAAGAAGGCGTAATTTGTCTCAGTCGTGTAATGTATTTGAGCAACACTTATTTCGAACAATCTGATCACATACGGACTTGTCGTACCCTTACTTGCAGAAATTGATGAGTGGTAACGTCATGTCATATCATACTGCATTTACCAATTTGAATGTATGTGTGGCCACACATACATAGGGAGGATTCATCAATCTCTGAAAGTAAGGGCTTCAGAGCATATTTCTAAATGGCTCTAGAAAGAAATAGAATCTTCAGAACCCATTAATGGTGAGAACAGGAGACCTAGCTTCTCTATTGTGGAACATATTATAGAGACAGGACATAAAATTGATGTTTACACATCTTTTAAACCTATCTATAAAACGTGTTTGGTGAGTATCCTAAAGTTTATGAGAGCCCTAGCAATTAGAAAGTTAGTTCAAAAACATTTCGTCATCACACTAAACCTTCCTTGGTAAACTTTGTTTTGTGCTGATACCAGCCAGGGTAGATGTACTATTACCGCTGTTACTTGGTTTAGTGATATTCACTGTTATTTTGACCTTCAATATGTCCTTTTAACTTGACCTCAACTTAAATACATGTTTATATACCTGAAGTTTTACTACCACAAAACAACCCAAGTAGCCCACGAGTGTTGTGATCTACGTGAAAATAAGTCAGAAAGAAAATTAAAGCATGCGACCCAATGATGACCAGTACTTATCAACACACAATGAGGAGGACAGAAGAATATTCTTACACCATAGATAAAACTGTAGCCTAAATTATAACTGCATAACATATTCATTTTATGGAACTTTAGACCACTCGTTTAAGTGCCTGACTTTCAAACACCGACTCACAGTTTCAAAACCCGCTCCATCTGCCTTCACACAAGTAGAATTAAATGCAAGTGGTTGTGGAGTAACACTTTTTAAGTTTTATCCTACATTTATTAAAGATTATTAACACATCAACTTATTCATTTCTAAATCTATTTTCAGATCAAATGTATCGGAAAACGCGTTGAGTATGTACCGTCGAAAATGAAACCAGAAGTGAAAGTTACAAAGAAGGCTGGAAGTCGAACAAAAAAAGGCAAAAGCAAAGGTGCAGGTAAAAGTGGGAAGAGTACAAAGAAAACTGGAAAAGGTAAAAAGAAGAAATGAAACTAGGATAAGACGACAAGTATTCACACAACTATATTTATTCAAGATTATATAGAAATTATAATGAATTTTGTACAATTCAAAGATTTTAAATGACTGGTTATTTGATAGACTATTTGATATTATTCGAAATACAATTATGTGTAGCCCTATTATTTCTGGACTATTTGACATGTGTGAAATATATATAATTAAGGCAGATCAGATACTACTTTGGTGAGTTTTCAAGTCAAGACAACAAACTCTTTCAAAAGTCGTTTGTAGAGCACAAACAAGCTACCCAACACGAATATTACAACTGTAGTAGTATCGTTCATGAATAGATAATCATGACTTAAAGAAAACTGTTTTGAATGAGGCACAGAGTGTCCATTTTAATAAGACTTTATTGTTAATTATTAGCCATCGATCAGGTTAATTCAAATGTTACAATGATATATTACACAATACTTTGATTGGACACTATTTAGACTTCCGATCATCCCATCCTATGTCAGTAAAAATAGGATTGGTGAAGTGTTTAAATGACAGAGCACAAAAACTAAGTAGTACTAAAGAAAATCTAAAACAGGAACTATTATTATTTCCTTTAGTTCCTAGAGGAACATAGGGCTTCAGCCATGCGTCTCCATTGCATTCGGTTCTCTGCTAGAGTTTTCACCTGGCTCCAGGTCTGCCCACACGCCTTAATCTCCTCTTCACATGATCTCCTCCAGGTCACCCTTGGACGACCAACTCGTCGCTTCCCTTTCGGGTTCCGCTCGAGGGCTTGTCTAGTGATGTCACTTGCTGGTTTCCTCAGAGTGTGGCCAATCCATCTCCATTTCTTCCTGCCTATTTGTTTCACAATCGGTTCCTGGTTGGTTCGCTCCCAGAGATCTTTGTTGCTGATCCTTTCCGGCCATCTGATCTTGAGTATTGAGCGAAGACATCTGTTAATGAAGGTCTGTAGCTTGTTTGAGGTGCTTTTTGTGACACACCAAGTCTCTGATCCGTATAGTCAGTAGCACTGACTTCACATTGCAGTTGAAAATCCCGATTTTATTTTTGACGCTGAATGATGTTGACCTCCACACAGACTTGAGAGTAATGAAAGCTTGCCTTGCTTTCCCGATCCTTGCTTTGATATCCTCGTCAGTTCCGCCTGTAGTTGAAACAATGCTTCCCAAGTAGGTAAAGGAGGTAGTTTCTTTCAGGTTCCTTCCATTTATGCTGATTGCTGTCTGTTGTTGTTGTTGGTGTTGGCCAGGGATCTTCATCACCTCTGTTTTCTCTATGTTCACCTGGAGTCCTATCTTTGATGCTTCTTCTGCCAACTTGTTACTTTTCACTTGCATATCTTCCAGTTTGTGGGAAATCAGACATATATCATCGGCGAAGTCCAGATCCTCCAAGTTCTTTGTGTGAGTCCATTTTATGCCTGTTTCCTCATTGCCCACTGTTTGTCGCATTATCCAATCTACCGCAATCAGGAAAATCATTGGCGATAGTAGGCAACCCTGTCTTACTCCTGTCTTCACTTCGAAGGATTCCGTGAGCTTCCCGTTGTGGATTACTTGGCATGCAGCGTTGTCATACAACTGTTGGATGAGATGTATAATTGTCGGTGGCACCCCGTAGTAGCGAAGTAGTTGCCAAATCACCTCTCGATCGACGCTGTCGAAGGCCTTTTCAAAGTCGATGAAGTTGAGATAGAGAGGTGACTGTCATTCCAAGCTTTGTTCAATGATGATCTGTAATGTGGCGATCTGATCAATGCATGACTTGTTTCTCCTGAATCCAGCTTGTTCCGGTCGAAGTTTTTCATCCAGGGCTTGTTTGATCCTTTCCAGGATGATGCGGCTTAGTATTTTGCTTGGGATGGACAGGAGCATAATTCCGCGCCAGTTCTTGCATTGACTTAAGTCTCCTTTCTTTGGTAGTTTGAATAGGTATCCTTTCTTCCAATCCTCGCTTACTTTGCCTTCTTTCCACACCTTCTCCAGTAGTGGCGTCATCAAGTCTGCTGTTGTCTCTGGGTCCACTTTCAATGCTTCTGCTGGGATTCCATCTGGTCCTGCTGCTTTTCCAGCTTTCAGCATCTTGATTGCCTTCAGGACTTCTGTTTTCGTCGGGGGGTTGATGTTCACTGGTAATTCTGCTTCCGTTGTTGGTATTGTTGGGCGCGTTGTAGGTGGCGGTCGGTTTAGTAGTCTTTTGAAGTGTTCAGCCCAGTGTTTCCTTTGCTCCACTTCTTTGGTGATTGACTTTCCATTTTCATCCTTCACTGGCTTAATTTGTGACGAGTTTCTGCCTGAGAGGTACCTAGTTGTTTGGTAGAGTGTTGAGAGGTCTCCTTTGCCTGCTGCTTGTTCTGCTTCATTGGCCATGGCTTCATAATACTTTCTTTTGTCTTCTCTGGCACTCTTCTTTACTCCTTTGTTCAGTGTATTGTAGCTTGCATTCAACTCCTGTTTCTGTTGCTCGTCGGTGCACTGGAGAATCTTTTGTTTCACCATCCTTCTCTCTTCTATTAGCCTCCAAGTGTCCGTACTGAGCCACGGTTTGTCCTGTCTCTTCTTTCTGCCCAGAACTTCCATGCAGGTTTCGCTCCATACTGTTTTCAGTTTGTCCCAGTGTTTTTCGACGCTGACCTCTTCGCTAACTGATACACATAAAAGAAGTCTTGAAACTTAATAATTACCCGGATAAATTAGTCAGGAAATATGTAAGGAAATGTAAAAATAAAATAAATAATGATAGTAGTGATAGCGATAATAATAATAATACTAATGACGACATGCATGTCAAACATACGCAAGATAATGACAATACCAGCCATAAGGAATTTAAACCATCAGTAGTAATTCCATACAAGGAAGGAACCTCGGAAACCATCTTACGCAGAATTCTTAACAAGACAGGAATAAAAGCGGCTGGCATTCAAACCACCTACAAACTCAATTAGAAACAAGCTTTGTCGGTTAACGGATCCTGCCAGTGGAGCCTTTAAAACAAAACAATTTAGTTTATCTAATACCCTGTAATGATTGTTAGGTCAAATACATAGGTCAAACTAGTAGAACAGGGGCAGTCAGACTAGCTGAACATAAAAACCTAGCAAAATCTAGATTGGTTGAACCGAATAAGATAAGAAATCTAGAGAATAGTTCAGCTATAGGACTACATGCAGTTACACACAACCATACAGTAGGATGGGATAGGATGACAGTTTTAAAATCTAATGTCACAGGGTGGAGAGAGAGAGGTTGATAACAGAAGCTTTGTTTATCGAATGAACTACAAATACATGTAATAGGAATGATTCATCATCTGTCCCCAATATCTGGAAAATTCTACTACCCCCACGACAAATTGGAGAAAACAAAGAAAACTATAAAACTCAAGTGTCAAAGTCGTGTGATTATAAATGATCACATGATTATGAACAATAAATATTGTTCGAAACGATGTCATCCAGTAAATAATACTGCTTCACTGTGTGATATATCTAATAAACAAACTAATATGGAATTACTTACTACCACAGTGCCCAAGTTTTACACATATATTGATTGGACACTAATTAAATAACTAATATCATGCGTCTATTCACAAGCCCGAATAACTCAGTAGTAAATTCTCTGAATGCCGTACTGGTTGACTGGTAGATTCGAAGCTCAAAAGGGACATGAATTCCTTCAAAGTTGTTAATACGCCCTACTGACTGGTGAGTAGTAACAAGCCAAAATCGAAGCCTAAGGCTTCGTGCCAACACTGCCTTCAACCATCCAATAACAACAATTCAAAGTGCACGGTGATGGTGAGCCACCTCTAGTGGCATGGTGGCCACATCGCAAACTTGACTGATAGAATTCAGTCTGCACCAAAACAAAAGGACTACACACATGATACTAGTTACTAAGAGTGGTTCTATATGGCATATCCATTTTTGAAGTACACTTAACTTTTGAACTTACTTACTTACATTGCGCAGATATCAGTATCACGAGACATTTTCTGATAAAACTGCAGCAAATGTAACTCATTTCAAGAATATAATACCACAGGTAATAGATACTTCAGAAAAGAACTTTTTAATGCAAAATTTCATTAAATCACCATAGCAACGGACTACGATGCCACAAATAGCGGGGATATGCAATGAAGTCACTCTTTACTAACTAGTATCCAATCAATACAGTCCTACAGGAGGCCAACCACCAGCTCGAATAGCTCAGCGGTAACGTCTCTGAATGCAGTACTACGTAACATAGGTTCGAATCTCAGATACGTCTTGCTGACTGGTGGTGAGTGCCAACAAGCACGAAACTTGGGTGTCCAAGGCTTCCTGCCAACTGCATTAAATCAACCAACATTACACAATCCTTAAATTAGCCTAAAATTGACATTTACACACGACAAACCATGGTTGTTGTCAGATAGTGATATAACTGTGATGTCATAGTATTTACCATACGCACACACTTAACCTCGAACAGAAACCCAAGACAACCAGGGTCTTAATTACCTATGAAAAATGTAATAAAGGTTTTTGTATTTCCCAATGAATGAAAAACAAAACGATATGGTTTTTACTGACGTTTCGCTATTTAATGCTAATAGCTTTATCAAAGTATTATTAAACCGGAATTTACAAAATCTCAGCATATTATATATATATAAGAAGACTTGAAACAACTGAAATCTTTGAGCTGATGGGGTGCCATGATTTGAAGTCCATATAGAGCAGAGACGTCAGACGATATCAGAAGAGTACTCAATCAGCTCGACATTAGAGTTTTCTTCGAAACATCAGATACACTACGAAACAACCTTGTGCATATAAAAGACCAAATCCCTAAAGATTCTCAATCTAATTGTGTCTATAAAATAAAATCGTTGGAATGTGATGCGATATACATCGGACAAACATCTCGAGAAATCAAAATCAGAAGAAATGAACACCGCAGAGCATCTCTTCGACCACCGAAAAAGCCGGTTGAACTGGAAAAACTTGGAAAATCATCAGCCATAGGTCTACATGCTATAGAATCAGGCCACAAAATTGATTTTGACAATATTGAAATAATCCAGAAAAACTTCAGAAATCACAAAGAACGTCTAATATCAGAAGCACTTCAAATCAAGTGGAATCCAAACTGTCTGAACTGAAAAGGAATGATGGACTGAAACAGAATCTGACCAGGTTACCACACCTCCCTCCCCTATGAAGTGACAAAATCAACACGAATGCGATATGCAAACTCACTATGTAAATACACACTGCTTTTATAACTTTACACACTGATCAAATCCAACCATCTACACTTGTTTTTGTTATCTTTACCAATTGACCAACTTGACAACGAAAAATACCCCGAGACTGACGAACGATGATCAAGTTAGTAAACTTTATTTTGATACCATAACAGATGTACTATTACTTTTGTTATTTGGTTTAGTGGCCTTCATTGTTATTTTGACTTTCCATATGTCCTTTTAACTTAACGTAAGTCTATTTTCTCACCCCTTAACTCTTTGTTATATATACGCTGAGATTTTGTAAATTCCTGTTTAATAATACTTTGATAAAGCTATTAGCATTAAATAGCGAAACGTCAGTAAAAACCATATCGTTTTGTTTTTCATTCATTGGGAAATACAAAACCCTTTATTATAATGAATATCATATACCCAATGCTCAAATTTTTTCAAACTGTTAAAAGTGAACTTGGTTTGGACATATGTATGAAAAATGTAGGCTAATCGGATATTATTACAGATATAACTAACGAGAGTATGTTAGTGAGGGCTCAGTTATTATGTTAGGCCTGATTGTATTACCACAGCTAAAGCAAATGGAGCGGCATTTGAATATGAGGCTCGCTTGGCGAAAATGGAGTTTTAAAGCCAATGACTATTGAGCAGTACTAATCCAGTTGAAGGTTAACCCTACATTTGCCCAACTATACGTTGTTTATGTATGAATTTAACTGATTCCAAATAGTCACATGCAGGTAAAACTACGAAAGTCCACTTTTGATTTATTTAGCGTAGTTCAACACAAGTTAAATAACAACGGTCTTTCAAAAGCTCCATACCGATCCGTCTGGTGGATAGGCACAGCACAATATAAATAAAACCTCATATGTTGTTATTCTACAATGAGTAACTCTTCACTCCTTAAGTATGCCTAAAGTAATTTCGTAAGACAAGGGAAAGTCATAAATATGTCCTAATGAAAACTGTATACATACAAAAGAATTTTAGCCGGTCCTGTCAGCTCGTATGGCCCTCAGTTCTATGTAGATACAGTTACAATAGTTTTCTTTAAAATCAAATTCGCAATTTACAATCGACAAAGTTTGAGAAGGTGAAATTTCACCAGATTTTGGAAGCTGAAATAGGTAATCTGCTTGACACTATAAATGCTAATCAAGGAAGCAAGAATAAGTACGCAAGACTATGTACTACTGATTCACTGATATGAGTAGTTGTGTGCCACTCACATCAAATTACTGGTGGTCAAACCAAAACACGGCTTCATCAGTCATGCCAGCACGTTGCATCATCTTACATTTGGAGGGAGCGAATCGCATGTCAAACATTCACAGATTGCAACTCAAGGTGTTCAGAAGACTCTGCATTTTGTCAGCGTCTTCACCTAGAAGGACTATATCACTTGCATATTGTAAGTCAACGAGATTATTCCCCGGTGGTAACAAGTTAATCCCTAAGTCTCTGAAGTCAGTCAGGGTCGATTAGATTTGTACATCTATCATGAAATTAAACAGAAATGGGGACAATCGGTAACCCTGACGGACACAAGTGGTTCTTATCAATTCAGATAACAACTCTCGGTAAGCTCTTACCTGCCTGCATGATTTTGAGTAGAGTGCATTCACTAGTGCGATGTACTTTTTCGGCCTATAACTTTAGATAAAAAGCTAGCTATCTTAAATCATAAGTGTCTGTGTTCTATCTCCCATGTTAAGTGGTATAATAAGGTGGGCAATATCGAAGTGAGGCCTCCAGTAAGTGTTATGTAAGGAGGGAAAATCAATCGACGAGGTTGTGAAGTTGCACCGATTAAGATGGTTAGGATATGTGTTGCTGCGTATGCCTACTTAGCCATCGATTGCCTTCCTCGACGGTCAACGTTAGCTAATATAGGATTGATCAGGCTGGAAAAGAGAGCTAGCGGTGATCAAACTAAAACATTGAGACATCATTCAATGAAATCCACAACAGTTAGTTTAAACCAACCAGTCAAGTATGGAGGTGTAAGCTGTCCTAGCTGGTTGGGATCATCGGGATGGTAAGAACCAATGACGGCTGGAGATAATTAGTGATATGACTCAAAATCGTCCTCACTGACTGGTGCAGATGCATTCACTCTTTGTGATTTATAATATCTATACTACTATTCTTTTTGGTTCACATTCCTGTTTATTAGCTCTCTCTCTCTTGAATCTCTTTTTACTCGTTTCTATTACTTTGTGTGCTAAATGGAGGGAGTGTGGCAACTTGAACTGCTGCACATCTGTGCAAAACAGCTCTGTGTTGAAACCAATTAGTCAGCCAGTCAGTGATCTCAACTTTCTAAAAATAGGCAATATTTATCCCGATGAACTTCTAACACTTTTATCAAATAACTCGAAAATACAACATTGGTTAAATAATAATTATTATTATTTTTATCTTTTTTCGAAAGAATAAGCAAAATTTACACCAGTTCTTCATTGAATAAATGTTCAAGAATAAGATCACCTGACTCCTTATCCTTAAGATACTTTTGATAGCCAGCCGTTTGTTTAAACTTTTTGATAAGGCGTTCAATCTGTTTCGGGGTTAACTGATACACATTTTTCGGATCTCGACTCATAGACTATAATTGATAATAACAGTGATGAAAAACTACAAGTTATATTACAACTTACCAGGTAATCGTCTTCTGCATACATTTCTAAATTATATATACAAAATAATTGATCGTCTTCTGATACAAATACAGGTTTCTGTTTTTTGTGTTTAGACAACTCTTCTAACACTAGAATAAAAATAATAATAATAATAAGCAAAACACGTTTTTAGAAAAAAACAGCTAATCATCTATACATACTTTTGACAACAGTTGTATCCTTTTGAAACTGGGGATCGTCATCATCATCACGAGCAGCGGCATGAACTGTTGAATTCTGTATAGAGTTTATTAAAAATGATGATAATAACAAAAAACTACGTGATTCCAAGGCATTCCCACGACTTCATTTGCATCGTAGGCTAAACCCAAACGATTGAAATTCGACTTGACCGATAATCCATGCTTCCATGCGGAATCAACTACTGGACTGACATAAAACATAAAAACTGCTTCATCAATATGTACAAAATATATACATATATATATATATATATATATATATATATATATCATAATATTAAATATTACATTGGTAACATTTAGAACGAAACATTTAAGCGAACAATATTTTTTTCAAAGTGTTGGTTAGTAGGGATTTGATTGGTTACAGGATTTTCATCATGAGCTGACATCATCGGTTAGAGAACCATTGGAAACCAGCACTGGAGTACTGGACAGCTGTTTCATCAGCCTAGTTTGGGACTCTTCAGCAGTACGTACCCACCACCATGGGATTCGAACCCAGGACCTTCCGGTTACAAGGCGAGCTAGCTCGTATACCATTAAGCCACTGGGACCCGATCCAATGGCCCGTCCATGAATTCTAGCTTCTGCCAACTCACGACATAGCGCGACCCCTAGCCAATGTCTTCGGCGAGTATTTGTCTTCACACCCGACCTGCTGCACCCTACTGGTCACGACTTATATTTTTTTTCAATTAGATCTCATCAAATGAACATTAACAATGAGCCTATTACAGTGATTTGCCAATAGGATAATAAGACTGTGCACATAAATTGTGCAATCAGTCATAATAATAATAATGATAACGATTCTGTTAACAACCAAGGTGAAACAGGGGGAGCGATCTGTGATAACAGGAATAATCAAAAACAGTAAGATCAAAAACAAACAAATGTGTTCAGGTGGAAGTACTCGATAAAAGCGAAGAAAAACAAATAAACCAATTAAGTAATGCTGGATTGTAGGGGAAGTAAATAAACTATGTTTCAGTGAAGCTGTGATAGGATTAAGATATGATGATATGTAAGGGATTGAAAATATAAGTCACGGGTGGTGGTGAAATCATCATCAGTCGATTAGGTTTTAGTAGGCCAAGGGAGTGATAATGCCTGTACGAACTTCTTTTTTCAATGCATAGTTTAGGCTTCATGACCTCTTTTTCCATACACGCTTCACCCAAGCGGCTCATTTTATCGCCTACTTAGCAAGATACTCAGCAATTACAGTTTCTTATCCTGCTCCTCTTCACAAGTGGAAGTAAGCGCCTCCCCCGACGGGCATTACTAGCTGATATAGGTGCAGGTTGGAAAAGAGTAAGCGGTGCCATGCCAAACAAAAACATGGCATCAATCCATGAAATCCCTGACAGTTAAACTGAGTCAGGTAGGGAGATGCAGACTTCCGGGTTGGGGCCCGCCCTCGGGACTCTAAGAATCAATTGCTGGAGACAATAGGTGACATGGCTCAAAATCGTTGTCAATGGCTTACGCAGATGTATTCAGTCTCTGTAATCTTTCATATTCCTTTCTACCATTACTCATTCTGTCTCACTCTTATAATTATCTAAATTCTATTGATTCTCTTCACTCATTTTCTTGTCTACCTTTGTGTGGTATTTGGAACGTGGCAACTCGAACTGCTGCACTTCGGTGCGAAGTTCTATGTTGAATCCAGCCAGCGAAGGGTTTTATTACTGTTATTATTGTTCCCTTGGGTTCCGAGTGGGAAATATGGCTTCAACAGGACATCTCCACTTCTTTCTATTCTCCGCGGTTCGTTTCAGGTGCCCGCATGATTGCCCACAGTCTTTCACCTCCTGACTCGATATGTGCTATATCACCCCCGAACCCATGCTTAATTCATCGTTTCTCACTGACGTTTCACTTGAGGGTCTGTTTTAAGCGCGACTTCATCCCACGGTCTCCTCGGAGTGTGTCCGACCCATTTCCATTTTCTTTGGAGTATTCGTTGAGCAACAGGTTTTTGGCTGGTTCTTTCCCAGAGTTTCTTGTTGTTAATTCTTCCTAGTCGGCCATTTGATCTTCATTGTGGAGCCAGCCAGCGAAGGAGGCAGCTGTTGATAAAAGTCTGCAGCAGCCTGTTGAGAATGCTTTTTGTGATGTGCAGTGCAAGTTTCTGACATATGTAGAACAATTGACCGACTTAATATTGGTGTGCAAAATTCGGGTCTCGTTCCTTATGACGCAGAGTGTAGATTTCTGAACTGATTTCAGAGTGATGAAGGTCTGCGTTGCCTTTCCGATTTCGACTGATTTTGACATCTTCATCCGTGCTGTCGCCTGCAGTTGAAACGATAATGCCTGATCAGATAGGTGAAGGAAGTGACCTCTTTAAAATTTCTCCCATCGATAGAGATTGATGCTTCTCGTTGTTGTTGTTGATAGTTGTGTTTAATTATCCTCATCACCTCCGTCTTCTCAATCCTCACTTGACATCCTGTCTTCGATGCCAGCCAAATCAACCGAATTAGTGGGTTTCGTCTGGAAGCCTTAGAATTCATGTGACACTAGACATAAATGATAAGCAAAATCCAGATATCATAGAATCATCTTATTGGTCGACCGTCTTCCTGTCTTTTCCCTTTCCATATACAGTCATCAGCATAATCAAGTACACCACGATTACAAATATATACCATAGGAGATAGTGGGTAGGGAGGCTTGTCTTACTCCTGCATTTTCTTCCGAAAAGGCTTCGCTGGGTTTTCCGTTGGGCATTACTTGATATGTTGTTATAACTGCAATGAACTGAGGTAAACGCGTCGCCAATTTGTTGTAACTGTGGTCGGAATTAGATGAGGAACGTTGTTGCCTTGTTCTGTCTGCGCCTGACTAATACGCCTATCTGCTTCTGGTACCTTCCGATTCAGCGAACCCCGCAAATATCAAAAGACAAAGTCTGGTCTCTGACTTTATATTGTAGTACAACAACTATGACTACGACGACTACAACAACGACAACCAATAGAGACAGCTAACAGTATTTGAAATAATTGGTCGTAATAGTCAATAACAAAATGCGTGGAAATGATGATATACCACTTATGCGAGATTAACAGTCGTTAAGATAATTGAACAATAACAAAGTGTGTGGGATCCTATCATATGTGGAATTGTCATATAGCTGTTGAATGGAGTTTACAAAGAATCGGGGCACTCCACTCCATAGTGTTTCCAAATTACTTCACGGTCAACACTGTCAAAGGCCTTTCCTAAGTCAATGAAGCTGAGGTGGAGGTTTGACTGCCATTCTATGCTCTGTTCCATGACGATGTATTGTGTTGTTATTTGACCCGCACATTATTTGCTTTCCTTCAATCCAGCCAACTTGTTCCTATCTCAGTTCCACACACAGTGTATCTTTTATTCTCTCCAGGACGACGCGACTTAGCATTTTACTCGACGCAGGATAAGAACATGATTCCGCACCAGTCCTGGCAGAGGCACAAGTCTCCCTTCTTTGGTAGTTTGACACGGTAGCCTTTCTTCTAATCAGTAGGTACCTTTTTCTTCCTCCAACTGTTTTGCAATAGTGGAGTCAGTATATCCACTACGGTCTCTGGAACCGTCTACAGTGCCTCAAGAGGAATTCTGTCCGGTCCTGATGCCCCATCCCGACTGGCTTTCAGTCACTTGATTGTATTGAAGACTTCTGATTTTGTTGGAGGATTGGTGTCCACTGGCAGGTAGTTCTGTGTCTGCTGCTGGTTGTGGTTGTATTCCTGGACGAGTTGCAGATGATGGTCGATTCAAGATTCCTTTGAAGTGATCAGCCCATCGTCTTCTTTGTCTGTCTTCCTTCATAATTAGGTTCCCTTGACCATTCTTTATGGGTTTCATCTGTGTTGATCTCTTTCCGGATAGAGACCTGGTTATCTGATATAATGTTCTGAAGTCCATTTTATCTGCGGCCTGCTCAGGTTCAATTGCCGGCCAGTGTGTCGCAGAATCGCCTTTTGTCTCCTCTATCACTCTTCCTCACTTCTTCATTAAATGAGATGCACATTAAACTCAGCATTTCCTTCTGTTGTCCATCTTTGCATTGAGTCATCTTCTCTTTCACCAACCTCCTCTCTTCTATTAGCTTCCAGGTGCCCGTAAACAGACATTCCTTGTCTTGTCTCTTCCTTATCCTACCACGGTTGTACACGTTTCCTTGAACAACACTTTCAGAGAGTTCCAATCTTCTTCCACACAGGTTTCTTCAGTGATGCTACATAGTGTCTCCCACTTTGCTCTAATGGCAGCAGTGGAGGTATCTTTTGTAGTTCCGTCTTTCAGTTTCTGAGTGTTTAACTTGAATTACACTGGTCTGTCTTCAGTTGTTGTGAAGGCTTTCAGCATGATCTTCAACGTCCCTTGAACTAGACGACGATGGTCCGAACCCACGTCTGCTCCCTGGAACCTCTCTGGGAAACAACCAGTTGGGCGTCACTTCGAGGGTGACATGGAGGAGATCGTGTGAAGAGATGAGAGACTATGGGAAATCCTGGGGCCAGCTGAAGAGAACCGCAAAGAATAGGAGAAAGTGGAGTTGTCATGTTGAAGGCCTGTTTTCCACTCCGAACCCAAATGAACAATAATAATGGTAATAATACGCTTCGTTTACTTCCCCTTGTGAAGAGGAGCAGGATAAGAAACTGTAATTGCTGAGTATCTTGCTAAGTAGGCGATAAAATGAGTCGCTTGGGAGAATCGTTTATAGAAAAGGTCATGAAGCCTAAACTATGCATTGAAAAGAAGTTCGTACATGCATTATCACTCCCTTGGCCTACTAAAACCAAGCCAACTGATGATGTCACCACGATCCCCTACTTAGGTTTTTAATCTCTCTTCTATCACACCCCCCCCAATCTTATCACATCTTCACTGAAACATAATTTATTTACTTCCCTTACAATCTAGAATAACTTAATCGGACCATTTGTTTTTGTTAGTCTTCATTGACCACATCTACCTGAACATTTGTTTGTGTAATCATGCTGTTTTTCATTATTCTTGTTATCACAGATTGCTGTCGTATTGTATCTTTTTTTGACAGAATCGTTATTATTATTATTATTATGACTGATTGCACAACCTTATCACATCCTACTAACTAATCATCGTGACTGGTTTATACTTGATATTTATATCTAAAACTATGCTATATAAGAGTTAATTTTCTATAGTTTGGTTTGCAAGGGTTAATTATGTTTTTACGAGCTTGCCTTGTAACATTGCCCCCCTTGGATAAACCAAGTGATTCGTAAGTTATTCAGACGTAAACACAAATGTTGGAACCTGTTTGCCACACTTGAGACTCCTGAGACCAGGAAATTATATAATACTGCTAGGGATAAAGCTATTGTAGAAATCCGTCAATCAAGGATGAAGTTCGAAGCACACCTGTCTCAAAATGCAAAGGCACAACCTAAGAAAATTTTCTCGTACATGAATTTCAGGAATAAAACATCCAATGGTGCCCCAAACCTGACTATTGAGAATGACACAATCGAAGAAGATCAAGAAAAAGCAGAAGCAATGGCAAACTACTTCTCCCAAGTCTTCACTCAGGAGTCGTCACTGCCTATAGGATCAGCTCTGGCTGCATCAGAAGAACATGGGATAGATTCCGTTGACATCGACCAAGACATCGTGCTCAACTGCCTAATGAAACTAGATGCAGGGAAATCAATGGGTCCTGATAATCTTCATCCAAGGCTTCTCAAGGAGCTATCAGCTCACATAGCCGGCCCTTCGACCACGATCTTCAAGCTATCTCTCCTAAATGGAGTGTTACTGCGTGACTGGAAAGACGCCATAGTAACCCTCATCCACAAGGGAGGATCAAAACAAAGCCCTTCAAATTACAGGCCTATCAGTCTCACCAGCACTTTAGTCGAGACACTGGAAAGAATCATCAAGAAAAGCATCATGGCATATCTGGAAAACAAAATGTTATCCGAAGAAACCTCTCATGCTTGTCAAATCTCCTTACTGTAAGAGAAAGCTGGATCAAATCAAGGGACAACAGAAGACCCGTTGACGTCGTCTTCATAGACTTCAGCAAAGTCTTTGATAAAGTACCTCACAAAAGACTACTCATGAAGTTGGAAAGTCTTGGTATCAAAGGCAGATTACTGAACTGGCTCAGGGAATTCCTCATAGATAGGAGGCAGAGGGTTAGGATCAACTCGAAACTCTCCTCTTGGACAGCAGTACGCAGCGGAGTGCCACAAGGCACAGTACTCTGACATCTATTTATTTTGTACATCAATGAGTTATCTCTGCTCACCGACTCCCATATGGTCCTATACGCAGATGACTTAAAAATTTGGAGAGAGCTGAAGGGCAACAGTGATACGTCCACATTGCAAGAGGACCTCAACAAATTGTCAGTGGTCCATAGAATGGATGCTCCCGATAAATGTGGCAAAATGTGCAACCATGCGCATTGGACAAGCAAGCACGAGCTCCTACGAACTAGAGGGAATAACACTTTCATCAGTTCAGACTCACTTGGACTTAGGTGTCATAGTTAGCCACGACCTAAAAACTACAGTACACTGTCGTGCGGTGGCTGCACGTAGTTTCAGGTCATTATGGGTAATTCATAGAGCCTTCACTAGAATCACCAGAGATATGTTCACCTCCTTATATACATCTCTGGTGAGGTCAAGACTGGAAAACTGCATCCAGGCCGCCAGTCCTTGTCTAAAAGGGTTCAAAGGAAGGCAACACGTATGGTTCACGGCATGACTAGCTTATCATACGAGGAAAGACTAGACAGTTTAAATCTCTTCTCCCTGTCATACCGTAGGCAGAGAGGAGATTTAATCACAATGTTTAAAATTTTAAATAATGACTACGGACCTGACCTATTCTCTCCTTTCCTTCCCACCAGGTCGGAACACCTTAGAGGACGTAGCAGGAGAGTTCAAAAGCCAAGAAGAAATCCTATTGCTGTTGAGTACTGGTTCTCACGCCGAGTCATAAACTCTTGGAACCGACTCGCAGAAGAAGTGGTGTCTGCAACCTCAACTGATTCATTCAAGAAGGGTTTGGACAACCACAGAAATTTACTAGAAAAGGATTAACATGGGCTCCAAGCCTTCTATCCTCAACCAATAAATCTGAAATCTGAAACCAATGGTCTTGTTAAGTTACAATGCCCATGATTAAGAACTCATATTAGCATTGGCATTCGTATATCAAGCGTAGCTCAATGACAGTAACCGTAAAATGTAAGCAAATTAAGCATCCCTATGAAGAATCTGGCTCTTAGTTGTATCAAGGTGAATACTTTATAAGCTTGATTCAAAATTCAAGACTAAACCACGATCAACTCAGTCAAAGAATATGTAGCGACCAATCCTTTCAACAAATTACTGTGAAGTGACCACTTGGCTTTTCAAAAATCACGTCAGCAAATCAAGATAGTATTCAGATATTTCAAGATGCAGGGATGATCACGTTTACTAAGACTCAAGAGAAAAAATACACAAAATTGTCAAGGTGCATCCTAAATTATTTGCATGTAATCAGATTTTTACAGGGATAAGTGAAAAACCCTAAAATCAATTAACGAATAGTAAGGAACAGAATCACCAACAAGAAACTATGGGAACAAACAAAACAAGAACCAATCGCCCAACAAATATGCAGGAGAAAGTGGAGATGGATTGGACACTCACTGAGGAGGCCGCTGGGTGACATCGCGCGTCAGGCCATAGCTCGAGTGGAACCCGAAAGGGAAGCGGCGAGTGGGACGTCCAAGGGTGACATGGAGGAGATCGTGTGAAGACGAGATGAAACAGTATGAACTAACATGGATGCAGGTGAAAAGTACAGCAGAAGACAAACAAGTGGAGACGCTCAGTTGAAGCCCTATGTTAAACTAGGAACCCAAAGGAACAATAATAATAATAAGGAAGAGATTCAAAACAGGACGGAATCGCATTTCGAACATTTTATGTATACAAAACTTCATGTAAAACAAAACATTTTTAGCATGTTGCTCATCTTACTTTCTTATTTTCAGTCTGGCTTTTTCCTTTCTGCCCAACTTCTTTCGATTCCGTGAATAACTGAAATTATTTTTCTTCGCCATCTGTAAAATAATATGAACCATTAACATCAGAAATGTTGCAACGAATTTCAAGTGACAAGTAGAGTGGAAATTCTGTGATTTAACTGTTTAATTCAAGTATTTCAAGGTGATGATGCAACCGAAGTGAACGTGAAGCTTGAAGTTAGCCAACACCCACCAAAAATGAATTTTCAGAAGCTTAATAAAATATATTAATGCGCATCATATATCAGAAGTAACATATACCATTCTCTCATCCCAGCAAATTCATTGAAATTACTAAATTATAAGCCCTTTGAGGTACCGCCACTGGAAAAGTTACACTGAGTGCACGAAACTAAATTCCTACCCCTAAAGATAAGTAGACTGAACTACACTCCAGTAACAAACAAAACACATGTGTATCCAAACTGTGATTTTAAATCTCATAGTCTAACGCCATTCGCTCACCCCAAATTTTCGGTTTAAACGCAAATGACTCCCATCTTTTCAGAAGGAATCGAGTTTTACCATGGTATAATAAAATTTTAAAAAACGACACAACACTCACGAGGCATGCAAACACGACCTTGAATGTCAAGGCCGACGTTCAAAACGCGCACGAATATTGCAGGATACAATTTTCAGAATAATGTTATAGTAAGTGTTATGCGTACATTATGTGCTTCCTATTTGGCCTGCAGTGTATATTAAATCGCTGAGTTACAGGATAATAGTCATCAAATGATCATGATCAACTAAACCGAATCAATCTTAAAACTCCTTAACGTATTGATAAATTGTAAATCTAAATGTATAGACTTATTAGAAGGGTAATTTGCTCTTATTATTAGCCTGAAACCTAGATTCATTCTAATGCTAACCACACCCTAACCTTAAAAATTAAGCGAAACCTTAACCAATATCATAAACCCAGAAAGTGGCTAATATATGTCACCAGCAAACTGTTGAATAGGTAAATAAATCTGCGAGATTGCTAAGCTAAAGCATTATTCACCCACCACTGGGTGTTGACCGTCATTAATTAAGTCAACTCGTTAAGCTGAAGGCTCGCGTCAAGTATCTAGCTATTAAGCACAACGTCGTATTACGTTCGTTAGTTCGAGTTTGATACTCAACTAGTTAAGCATTCAACATCGCACGATGATTTTGATTCCTAAATATAAATCCTATTTTGGACGATCGATTTACTGTTTTCATTTGCTTATCTATGCAGAACAAACACTGCTAGGAAATATATATTATAAGAACTGGCGTTGGTATACATCGTACTTTTCGTAAACGTCAACATTAGCCAATCTTTCCCACTCTGCGAAAGTTAAGACAAACAAAATCTTTCTTATTAATTTAGTTGACTCTTTTTAGAAAGTATTTTGGGAATTCTTCAGAATTTCTCTGACTAAAGCTTAACTTTTGTGAATCCATAATAGGTGCATGAATGATTATTTTCGATAGATAATGGTAATGGTGATCAACTTCGAATCATAAGAGACATTCTGTACTTAATAACATAACGATCTCCATCACAAAACAGTCTATGTGGGAATTGGCGGCTAGCTACTGTCACTGTCTAAGAATAAGCTAGTCGTAATGGCTTTCTGCACAAAATTCAGTAGTGTCCATTCATTTTGGCACAGTCCGGCATTGCGAGCTGACAGGATCCTGTCCTACCGCCTTTGATGTATTTAATTCTCACCCTAGACATTCCATGACGTCTGGACTGCGTATAGATTTGAAGAGTAGTAACATCCTTGAAAGGAAGACCTGAAAACTTTGGAAGACTAGGCGCAGGTAAGTGGTAAGTTTTTTAATTCTAATTAGGTCAACTGATACACCTATGTACTCCAAAACGCAGAGAGTAATTCACTCCTAGCCTGACGACGACTTGTCCCAAGCAAGTCACGGCGTGACTCAGTCTCGTTCTAACGAGGTGAATAAATTGTGAAATGCCCATGTGTCGTACTAGGGCGTGTGCAGTCGTACACTCCTCACATATGCAGCTAGGCGCCCTCACACCGGAAAATTTTCTGAAGATGTTTTTATACACAGGTACCACTCTCTTAAAAGTGATCTGATCACTACTTACAAGATTACAAATGATCAGGGCCACCCAAACAAAGGGCTCATTTTGTAAGATTACTACGGTCTACCTTTTGGAAACACATGTCTAGACCAATCGCCATGGTTACTGAACTTTTGGCAGAAGGTCTTAAGCGGATGTTGCACAATCATGCAACTATACACAGGCTGAGTCCCGTCGACCGAACACAGGCATAACATTCAGATAACACGCTTATTAGATTTTCAGCCATTTCCATCCTAAACAACCGCACAGCCCTCCGTGTCTCACTTTCTTATTCTGCTTATTCGTTCATTTAATTATCCCCACTTTAATTACACATCAACTTGTTCGTCCTTTCTTAGTCTACATACTAGCCATCAAACATGCTATTATTACTTATATTATATCTCGCTTTCAACCACACAGGATTGAAAGAATAAATTGGATCACAGCAGCACATCAATCTTGACACACCCCATGCTTCAAATTATATATAACCAGTGTAATTCCCCCAGGGTCTACCGCAATTACGTCAGTGGGGAGGGATGTTGATGTTCACTGAAAATTAGGAACCGTTACCTCACCCTGCATATTATGTAGAAAAAGAGATAGTGGAAGCTAAGAAAATTCCTTTAACTATGATTTGTTGGGGAATATCTTTCTGTACGTCACTGTCTGCACCAGTCTTTTTAAAAATTCGAAATATCTTCAAGAACAAAATGAGGTACAATAGCAAGGAAACCGTACACATACCCAAACTCATGAGATGGTGGAATGACTATTCAAACGGATGGACCCCAAGTATGTAGAGTTTTCACTCAATGTTCATCTTTGATCTCGAACTTCGATGTTTCAAACATGTGTTAACACCGTGTAGCCGGTGACTTGCGTAAACCTCACTGTTCGCTAGGCGTAGTTAAGAAAAACCAGAACGGTTGATAGCTCACGAAGTGACGCCACAGGGTTAATGAAAATTGCAAGAGATAGTGTGACCCAGCGCAACAAGGAATTCATGAGACATCTTGCAGGTCAGTCTGTCCTACGGGTTCTGATCTTTTAGATCTTTAAATTCACTTCTCGCTGAAATACTTCTTATCTACCTCACGATAATCCTTTTATTTACGCAATATTATGCTCTACTGTATCTAACTACCTAGGCCTTTATCAAATCTAAATCTTACTCTTTGTTCATATTTGTTGCTTGCTCGAAGTCTGATTGCTTTGATTAAAAACACAACAACAATACTCATGTTTGAACAAAGCTATATTTTCATTGAAAACGTCATGGTTTCCCTGCTTTGACCGATATGATTAGCACTAAACATTGCAAATGCATACTATCATTCCAAGGAGTCTCCAGCTACTTCTTGTATATATCTCGTAGATCTCCTTCCAATGATGCATTATCCCTAATTGTATTTTACACCATTTTGCAGCTTCCCAGGACGTTCTTCTCTTCCTGAAATAGCTTTTAATCACGTGGCGGCATAGCACTCACCCAAATATATGCTGTTCACTGATTGACTATGACTATCAGCACGAAATGGAAAGAAGTTTGGTTTGTTGCTCAACTTTGATGGTAACCTTAATAAAAGGTTTACGATTTAACATTTATAAGAACCCGTTGTGATTGCTTGTATAATAATCCAACAATTCAAACTTTTTAAAATGTATTTATTTATGATACTTCGCGTTTGTAATTTATAACATTACTGATCGTGCCTGGAAAAATGACATGCATTTCTTGTAAACTTACACATTTATACGAAATATAGGTTGTTTTATAAATGATAAATTTGAGTCGGATCTGTTGGCAAACATCTTGTGTTCTCTGCCTCTTTTCCCTTTCTGAAAATCATACGACGTGGCGGACGCTATTCTGGATGCCCACACAGTGGCGATCCTCAGTTGCTGTATCTTTTATATTTTACCTGACTCATTTCTTGCAGCCTACAATTGATCAAGTTTGCTATCTAAATCAACTGTAGGTCTCCTCAGATATAATTATTGAACACAAAACATTTCGGTACAATGTGGCACCAAGAAGATGCGCCACATAATAATAATAATAACAAACAACATAGATAAAAAGTAAAGCTACAAGTAGAGAACGGATAAAGAACTTCATCTGGAAAGAAAAGTCATACTTAACAAGTTCAAACAGTATTCGTCAACTATCATCGAGAAGGGAAGAAAGAAGGAAATTGCCATTGACTATGATTCTTGGCCACATCCGATAACGTTTCGAGCTATCTGCTGGACCCCAACCAGGGAACGGTTACGCACCAACCGACGCTAACCTAACACAAATATCCTTCATATTACGACGCCACGTCATCAGCTGTCCGTCTGTCTGCTTTATCCAAAGCCAGCAAACCGACACGTGTACGGAAGCCTCTGGGATGACATCCGCAGGACACGTCCAGGACACCAAAGCCGGAGTTTCCAGATGATGACGCTCAACAAATGGTAACATCCACTGTGTCCAAACACACGCCACCAGACCTCAGAATTACTCACGCGACAATGCCACCAAACGCAAGCAGTCCTGAGGAGACAGCGATGATCGAATATGCAGAGCCGTCGCACATCCTCAGCTCGGAGAGGCCAGGTATCACAGGTATAAGAGCATGACAGAGGGCACCGAAGCATTGTAAACCCGACCTTTGACAGTCAGGCTAACGGCACGATGACGCCAGAGGTAGCTCAAGTCAACTTATGCCACTTTAGCTTTCACGATAAGGTTGGAATTCCCATCCGTCACACACCCACCAGTACTCACACAACTACCCAGATACATGGGGACTTATCGATAACTTCATGCGGTTCACCTGCAAAAGTCAGTTCAGGTTAAGGCTCTTGCCAAACTTGTAGCAGTACTTGGCACTTAGATGGCACAAAGCGCATACCATACTTACAGACACTGATCGCCAAATGATTAAGTGAGATTTGGGCAGCCTACATGCTATCGCACAGTAAGACGATATTGTCTGCATACTCGAGGTCGGAAAGTCTATCTCCAGGGAGCCAATCTATATCCCCATAACGCACGTCCTTCAGGGCTGACTCCAGAATGTCATCGATGGCAAAGTTAAAGAGAAATGGAGAGATTGGGCAACCCTGTCTAACCCCACTGTTGGTTGGGAACAGTGATGATAGTTGGTTGTATGCCCTCACTCTACCTGAGGTGTTTCTGTATAGGGCTTTCAGGATGTTCACAAACTTCTCAGGTACACCCCTCTCTAACAGACAGTTCCAGAGCACAGTTCTATTCAACGAATCGAAGGCAGCCCTAATATCAAGAAACACAACGATTGTTGGCCTGCAATACACGTGGCGGTGTTCCAACAACTGACGAAGAGTGAACATATGATCAGTGCATCCACAACCTGAAGGAAACCCAGCCTACTCTTCGCGAATCAACTCCTCACGTGTTTCGCACGACCTTCGAAGCAAGATAGCAGCCAATATTTTAGACATAACTGGTAGCAGATTGATACCACTATGATTGCCACGTGTGTTACATCGACCCTTTTT